GAAGTTTCATTGGTCAACCATATCATGAAGTTCAGATCAACTATTAATATTAGAGTCGTGAGAACGAGATGTTGCTCGCCCAGGCACTTGCAACTAGGTATGGCAAAAATATCCGTAATCATTATATCCGCCCGAATCCGACCTAGTCGGGTAGGGTAAAGCCCAAACTCGAAGGACTTTTAGTGGGTATGGATAAAACTCGAACCCGAATATTGCGGGTAATGGGTGGGCATGGTTTTCTCACTATCCAACCTGAACCCGCACGATTATACACATGCATATGTATTTTGTCTAGAGATAATCATTATTTTTCTCTAACATATTTTGTATTAAGCATATTTTTCTCTAGCATATTAGTATTTTCTCTAACATATTTTGTCTAGAGATAATCATTATTTTTCTCTAGCATATTAGTATTTTCATGAAATTGTGTTGTTTTAATTAATTTTCTTCATTCTAATGAATAATTGTCGTACTTTTCCTCTTATGTAATGTGAGAATATGTGTGGATGTTAACATATTAGTTGAAGTTACAAAGAGAAATTATTACCCATGGATAACCATGGATACCCGAAATCCGAACGAATATGGGCATGATTTTGATTTTCTATCTGGTACTTATGTGTTATGAGTATGGGTAATACCCGAACTACTATGAATAGAGTTACGCATATGCACTATCCGCCCCCAAAGTGACCCATTGTCATCCCTACCTGCAACTTCCAGATTTTTCGCTAACCCTGTGTTTTTCTACGAGAGAAAAGGGAGGGAGGGACAAGTTGGGACGGAAAGTTGGTTTCCCAAGGTACTTTCCCTTGTTTTTTAGTTTCTGAATAGTATGGAAGGAACGGAATTGGAAGGAAAATTTCACTGTGCCAACAGCCCCTCCAAAGTGGAGAGAAAACATGATTGTTGTTTTACTTTTTTTCTTCTTCTTCCATTTATGTAGTAATTGTCATGAGTTATGGAACGTAAATTTGGACATAATGCTTTTTGTTGCATACAGTATTTTTTTATTTATTATTTGGCTTGTTGGAAAGATTTTTTTTTGATAGAAATCTGCGTGGCTTGTTGGAAAGATAGTTATGAAGGATGTAGATAATTATAAACTTTGAGACATGGATAATTACGTTTGCAGTTAACATAAAATATATTATAACTAATTACCGAAAAAGAAATAGTATAATAATTAAGATAAATGGTATAAATCTTACGTGAACATGTAAAAGTGTGTTACATACTAAAATCCTAGATTATCAAACCGGTTTATACATCTATGTCGGTTTAGTAAGTGATATGGTTTGACAGGGGTGTAACCCATTTATATGCCGGCTTATAACGATTATAGTCAGACCATTTGTTTTCTCAATTTTGCCCAACGATGGACACTCACTGGACCTTTAGCAAGAAAGAATAAATTTGATCCTGAATAGTAAGATTTTAATAATTATCATTAATGAAAGAAGTAATTAGTAAGAGATATAACGTTGTCTAGGTTTATTTTTACAATAACAATTGTTCTTGGTTATTAAACATAATTAATAAAAATTCATTAAAGAAACATAATTTATAAAAGGGTAAATACAATATATTAGCCACAATTATTATGAAGCGGGAAATTATAGCCACAACTATGGAAATTCAAATTATTAGTCAAATGTTAACTCTCTGTTAACAATTCCGTTAGTAATGCTAAATAAACTTTTGTGATTTAAAGTTATAAATTAAAAGCAGTCCGACGTGGCTGCTGTCGTGGCCTTCTCCGTTAAAAATTCATTAAAAACATAATTTATAAAAGTATAATTATGATTAGTAGTTATAGGTAAATATAATTACAAAAATTCTTATTATTGAAAATCAAGTTCTTAATACTGAAAATTTAATAATCACAAAAACAATCACCATACAAAATAATATTGAATCAAATGTTTAAAAACATCATATTCCATAATCAATAATCAATAAAATAAAATATCTATCACACTTCCCTATATACTTTTTCCCTCCCTCTATCCCTTTCACTTTCCCCCATAAAACAACATTTTCTCTCAAATTCTCTTCCTTTCCAATTTTCCCTCCCCTCCAAATTGTCCCTCCCCTCCCCTCCTTTTCCTTCCCTACTTCGGAAACAGGGGGTAAACGAACTGCTACTCTAAATTTGATTTTGGCTCATAATAAATTGAATTTGGAGAATATCCAAATTATGAGCCAACGAGTTCTGTTCTAGTTAGTAAGCCGCCAACTTAAATTGGATCAAGCAAGTAAAGTAAGCAACACAGACAAGTCCAATTCGAGAGAACATTGGGGGAGTAAAGGTCAAGGGCTTAAGGCCCACTAGCGCTGACTACTAATCAATCACGATTCACGGACCTCTGCAAAGCCAGCGTCCGGCTCGGCTTTTATTTTTCAACTTTTATTGAAATGGCTCGGCTCAACTGTCGGCTCCATATTAATTTATTGGCTAAATTGCAAGTTTGGTCACTCGAATTGCTACAAAATTTCACGTTTGGTCACTCGAATTCGTTTATTCCATTCGTAGTCACTTAAATTAGTTGAACAGTCCAAGTTCGGTCACTCTCCGTTAACCTCCGTCAGACTCCGTTAATGCCGTCAGTTAACTGCTGACGTGGCTAATAGAGATGCCTAATCACCCAATTTTAACCCAAGAAAAAACAGAAATTCACCCGCCACGTCAGAAAAAGATGCCACCTCATATAAACACAAACCAACCCACCCAACCTAAAAAAACCATTAACCCACCAGAAATTGAACCCGTGACCCATCCACCCTTCTTCTTCCTCTATACCCTGCTTCCGCTGCCGTCGGGGGATTTTCCCTCGATCTCCCTGTTGCAGCCCCCGCCGCCGGATCCAGATTCGCGAGGAAGAAGAAAGACGAAGGTTGCTAGGGAACATGCGTTTGTTCAATGAAGGAAGCAGCAGATTTATCCCACAACTTCTGGAACCTCACTCCAACCATCATTAGAAAACATTGTTCATTTGTTCAATGAAGAAAGCAGGAGATTTATCCCACAAATTATAAAAAGATTTCACAAATCAAGATCATACACAAGCAAACGCACATAGTAATCAGATGTGTGGGTATATATATATGTAATGGACCAGCCACTGCCACACTTTTCCACCTCCTTACCGTCGCTCAAATCAAACCCTAGCTCGTGTTCTCGCAATCCCTAGAAACGAGAGCCATGAAAATCCATCCTTCCTTCCACTACGGGCTAGCCGTATCGAACAACGGGTTGGGATGAGCATCGGGGACTATGACGAACGTCGATTACTAGCTAGGGGTTGGCTCTTGATTTGGCCGGCAGCGACCAAAAAGGGCGATGATGCCGAGAGAGTGGTGGTCGACACAGAAAGACCCGGACGTGCTCGTTACTGATCGTCAGGAGCAGCATCAGGCGGCGGTTCGGGGAGCATGCTCCGGCAGCTGATACTAACAGAACTGACCGGATCCATGATTATGGCGGCGGGGGCTGCAGCAGGGAGATCGAGGGAAATCATTCCGACGGCGGCAAAAGCAAGGTATAGAGGAAGAAGAAGGGTGGATGGGTCACGGGTTCGATTTCTGGGTGGGTTAATGGTTTTTTTTAGGTTGGGTGGGTTGGGTTGTGTTTATATGAGGTGGCATGTTTTTCTGACGTGGTGGGTCAATTTCTGTTTTTTCTTGGGTTAAAATTGGGTGACTAGACATCTCTGTTAGCCACGTCAGCAGTTAACTGACGGCACTAACGGAGTCTGACGGAGGTTAACGGAGAGTGACCGAACTTAGACTGTTCAACTACTTTAAGTGACTACGAATGGAATAAACAAATTCGAGTGACCAAACATAAAATTTTGTAGCAATTCGAGTGACCAAACTTACAATTTAGCCTTAATTTATTGTTCTCTGTTGGCCAATCTTCGCCTTTGACATCAAAATGAGAAGAAAAAAAGGAATTGTTTCAGTCCCCATTATTTTTCTCCCTTCATGCCACATCACATTCCCATGTCATGGCTTATGAATTTCATCAAAGATTAATAAAAACAATTATATATAACAAGTTGTACAAACCGTTAAGGCGGTAACCATATCGGATAAGTTAACAAAATGATTCGAGTGTTTGTTTTAATATAATTCCAAATTGGAGAAATGCGGATGAAAAATATGTTTGATAAGAATTTGTATAAATAGAAAGATATTTGATTGAATAGTATACAATATGCTTAATATTAAAATAGTGAACAATATGCTTGGTAAATTTGTAAATAAATTTTCTTATGATTGTGATGGATTTTTATTAGAGTTTGAGGAAAATGTGGAAATTTATATTTGTTTCAATACGAACATAAAATTTGGACCGAGTTTGAGGACGAGAAAAGTGCAAAAACAAGCGAATGAGAGCTAGCCCCATTGGTGGGGAGGTCAGTTCGACACATAACAGAGAGATCATTCGTCGATCCACCACCTCATAAATTGGTGCTTCACTCTTTAGTATCCGGCCAGCTGCCCGCGACATCCCCAATGTGACAACTCTATTGCAAGCAACGATTTTTGTTGTAAAAACAAAAACAAAAACAAACACTCATATATGATTGTTAAAAGAAATGAAATATTCAATAAGCACTATACCGAATTGCTAGTTGAACAGGGTAAAATCAATCAATAATACCAATATTTTGTTACATTTGTTTGTACCCATAACATTGTCCATGTATTCAACTCCATAGCTATGGTCATGGACTCATGGTCATACCCATCATCATGAGCCATGGAGATGCATTGCAATTTGCAGGCACAAGAAAATAAAGCTAGGAGAGAGAGAGAGAGAGAGAGAGAGAGAGAGAGAGAGAGAGAGAGAGAGAGAGAGAGAGAGGGTGGGGTATGGGTATGAAAATGAAATGATGATGATGGTGGTGGCGAGAGAAGCAAAGCAAAGATCAGGCGTAGCACGCCTACAGGGACAGACAGACAGACACAGTAGTAGAGAGAAAAAGAAACAAACAAAGGACCTTTCTTTCTTCTCCCTCCATTCCCATACCCCTTTTTTATCAGTGCTTTCTCTCTCTATCTTCAGTCGTTCACTCCCTTTTCACAGGGGAGAGAGGGAAAGAAGGAAAAAAAAAAAAAACAGAGAAGCACAAAAGAAAAGGAAAAAATTAGGAGGAGGACTAGTCAGGGCTCAGGGGCTATGGCTATCATCCGTCAAAGAAACGTCTCCACTGTTTCCCCCTAATGTGCTCTCTGCTCTGCTTCCCTCTCTCTCTACCTCATTAATCCTCCGCTTCCATTTTCACTTTTCTGTTCTGGTCTCCATTAAGTTGGTCCTTGATTAGCCGAACAACAATCCAATTTGCGTCTCTACGATTTGGATTCACCTCTCTCTCTCTCTCTCTCTCTCTCTCTCTCTCTCTCTCTCTCTCTCTCTCTCTCTGTCTCCCTTTTGTTTTCTTGCTTCTGTTGGTTTTTGCTTTTGCCTCTGTTTTTTTCTTGACAGACTCTGTTTTTGTTGGTTTTATTTATGCTTCCGAGTAAATAGACCACCGCACACAAACAAAGAGCAAAGGGTATCTCGAGATTGGCGTCTTTGAGATAGAGACCCGCAGAAAGGAACCACCTTCCCTCCGATTCCTTTTCTCCAAACTCTCGAGAGCAAAAAAACCCACCACCACAACTCTGTCAACCATCTTTCTTTCTTTGTGATGCTGGAGAGAGGAGGCTCTCAGGAGAGAGAGCCTGCTTAAACCCGCAAACGCCCTAACTAGAAGAAGAAGAAGATAGCCCAGAGCTCTCTCTGTATCATTGTTAACCCACCATCAATAACAAGCCTTTCCGACCTTTTCCACATTTTTTTCTTCCTCTTTCCATCTTTGAACACCAAATCGACAGGCGTTTCTGGGTTTTACTTTTACCTTGTTTGTTGTTGTAGTAGTGTATGGGTTAGTGTATCTATGGCTCTGTCAATCCACCATAGCAATCATAATAAGGAGGTCTTCAATAAGAATCAACAGCAGCAGATGGATTCCAGCAAGTACGTTCGCTACACTCCGGAGCAAGTAGATGCATTGGAGAGGGTTTATGCTGAATGTCCCAAGCCCAGTTCCTTGAGGAGGCAGCAGCTCATTCGGGAGTGCCCTCTTCTCTCCAACATTGAGCCCAAACAGATCAAAGTCTGGTTCCAGAACCGCAGGTAGATAAACAGTGAATAGACTGGATTTTGATTATCAAATGTAAATAGCTTTTGGAATTTATTAGCCGTTTTCGTCGTCGATTTCCCCCTATTTCTCTGCAATTCTTTCCTGCTATTGTGTTCTTAGCTAAAGAATGATGGCTTTTCCGGGTCTTCTGGTTTTACCATCTAAATGATTTTCGATTGTGTCATTTTCCCTGTGCCCTTTCATTCAACACCTTTCTAAAATCACAATGAGTGCGTCTCTAATACTCGGATAAAATTTTGTTTCTTTTGCTTATATATTAAGCTGTCCTTCCCTTGCCTTTCTTTTCCCTCTACCTTGTCTGTTCTTAATTTTCCCTTTTGGGTTTGCTGGGTAAGTGCATTGATGGTGATTATTACTGTTAAACAGATGTCGCGACAAGCAAAGGAAAGAAGCATCCCGTCTTCAGACGGTGAACCGAAAGCTTACCGCAATGAACAAGCTGTTGATGGAGGAAAATGACCGCTTGCAGAAGCAGGTCTCTCACTTGGTGTATGAGAATGGTTTCATGCGCACAGAGATCCACACTGTAGGGGACCTTTACTCATGTTTCTTCATTATGGCAGTATTAGTATTATTGTGTCTAAGAGCAGTTTTTTCTTACTACATTCATTCGATTTGGTCTTTGCATTGTTGAACAGGCTTCAGGAACGACCACAGACAAAAGCTGCGAGTCTGTGGTCATAAGCGGTCAGCAGCAACAACAGCAGCAGCAGAACAACCCATCAAGTCAGCATTCCCAAAGGGATGCTAGCAACCCAGCTGGGTAGGCATTACTTCCTTTTGCCTTGCTACGGCAGTTTGGCTGATTAATTCTTGTTCGAAACCAGTGTAACGTTTTCCTGCAATGTGTTGTTTCTATGTCTGTATAGCCTTCTCGCAATAGCTGAGGAGGCCCTGGCAGAGTTCTTGTCCAAAGCTACAGGAACTTCTGTCAACTGGGTCCAGATGATTGGGATGAAGGTGAAGCTTCCTTCTTTATCTAACTCTTCAATCTTTGATTTATATCAACCAACAAATGATCAACTACATTATAATGCTGATAATTGTGCAGCCTGGTCCGGATTCTATTGGCATCGTAGCTGTTTCCCGCAACGGTAGTGGCGTAGCAGCACGAGCCTGTGGCCTCGTGAGTCTTGAACCCACGAAGGTACGTGCATTTTCTGTGGTTACCTCACAGGTGGAAGCTTTCTCTCAATTTGTTTTTTGGGAGTTTTGATTGACAGTTAATCATTGAGTTTTTTGCAGGTCGCTGAAATCCTCAAAGATCGTCCATCTTGGTATCGCGACTGTCGATGCCTGGATGTGATGAGTGTGATTCCTACTGCCAATGGGGGCACAATTGAGCTCATTTATATGCAGGTCTTTCTTCAACTCCTCTCCCATGGCTATAAAGTGTTTATTAATGTGCTAGGTTTAGTATTATAGCTGACCTTGGTTGCTAGGTTCTCATCTCTTTCTTACATGCTTGCTCTACCAGACATATGCGCCAACCACATTGGCTGCAGCAAGAGACTTTTGGACTCTGAGATACACCACCGCAATGGAGGATGGCAGTCTTGTGGCAAGTCTAATGCAATTAATTTCATTTGTCCTAGGAAAGTGGATGTGTTGTATCCGCCTATGTGGAGTAGCTTAATATCTATTCTTTTTTTATTATGCAGATTTGTGAGAGGTCCTTGACGACTTCTACAGGTGGTCCAGCTGGGCCACCATCATCAGGATTTGTTAGGGCTGAAATGCTTCCAAGTGGTTATCTAATTCGACCTTGTGATGGTGGAGGGTCCATGATTCACATTGTTGATCACGTTGACTTGGAAGTAAGAACCAAGTTCTAGTTAATTTGCTCTATAGTGAGTGCTGTTTTCTTCTTAATTCAATTTTAGTATCATTCTGAATAATTCATCTTTATTCTACTAGGCTTGGAGTGTCCCTGAAGTTTTGAGGCCTCTATATGAATCTTGCAAAATGATTGCTCAGAAAATGACCCTCGCGGTAAGTCTTATCCCCACCGCTGCTGTGTTATTTATTGACATAAAGTTTCTTGGTTTTGTTGATTTATATGTTTTGCTGCAGGCCTTGAGGCACATTCGACAAATTGCACAAGAGACTAGTGGAGAAGTTCAGTATGGTGGAGGCCGCCAGCCTGCTGTATTGAGGACATTCGGTCAGAGGCTCTGCAGGTATATATGAACTACTTTAGAAACAAGTTCATCTATCTTAATCTGTACCTTTGTATTTTTCTTAGTATGGTGCTCAACTAACATATTTTTTGGGCCTTATCAATTCAGGGGGTTCAATGATGCTGTCAATGGATTTGCAGACGATGGATGGTCCCTCCTAAATGGTGATGGTGCGGAGGATGTAACTATTGCCATTAACTCGTCTCCAAACAAATATCTTGGTTCACAATATAATGGGTCAATGTTCCCATCTTTTGGAGGAGGGGTGCTGTGTGCAAGGGCATCAATGCTGCTTCAGGTAATTTGTTGTCGCTGCTTGTACCACAATTTTGACTGTGCAATTTGGATATGAACCTCAAGTGTTGTACCTTTTTATGTGGGTGTAGAATGTGCCTCCCGCTTTGCTTGTTCGGTTTCTAAGGGAACATCGTTCTGAGTGGGCTGATTATGGAGTTGATGCCTATTCTGCTGCATGCCTCAAGTCCAGTCCATATGCTGTTCCATGTGGCAGGCCTGGTGGTTTCCCTAGTAGCCAAGTCATCTTGCCTCTTGCTCATAAAGTGGAGCACGAAGAGGTAAGGCTGGGAATACATGGATTTACTTCCTTTTGTGAATGATATTGAAGAAGTCAGACTTTGGGCTTAAAATTTTCCTATCAACTGCAGTTCTTGGAGGTGGTTCGTTTGGAGAGTCAGGCCTTCTCACCTGAGGAGATGGCTCTAGCACGAGATATGTACCTGTTGCAGGTTATTTCACAACCCAGTTATTTTAAAGTCTAGGTAAATTCCTTCCTAGTCAAATATACCCTAAGTTATTGATTTTTTTGGATAAATTGTCTGCAGCTATGCAGTGGAGTTGATGAAAATGCTGTTGGCGCCTGTGCTCAACTTGTTTTTGCCCCTATTGACGAATCATTTGCTGACGATGCTCCTCTTCTTGCATCTGGCTTTCGTGTCATTCCACTGGATGGTAAAACGGTAAGCCTGCTTTGATTGAAGTATTTTCTGCGGTGGTGTCAACTTCAAGCCCTCTAATCGTGTGTTATATACATATGTAGGATGGGCCTGCTGCGACTCGAACATTAGATTTGGCATCTACCCTTGAGGTTGGGGCAGGAGGGGTTACTCGTCCAGCCACTGAATCTGACTCAAACAGTTACAATCTGAGATCAGTCCTCACAATTGCATTCCAGTTTAGCTTTGAGAACCATTTGCGTGACAATGTGGCAGCCATGGCTAGGCAGTACGTGCGGAGTGTTGTTGCTTCCGTTCAGAGGGTTGCAACAGCCATTGCACCTTATTCTGGAATAGGTTCTCAAGTAGGTGGCAAATCATTCCCTGGCTCCCCAGAGGCTCTGACTCTCGCTCGCTGGATCAATAGAAGTTACAGGTCTGTTTGTTATAAGACCTTCCACATTGCTCCTCGTTAGTTCATTGAGTTTCCAAGTTGCACTACCTTTACTAGTGTTAATTGTTGCACAGGGCGCATACTGGAGGAGACCTCTTTCGTGGGGAAACTTCACAAGCTGGGGATGCTTTGCTGAAGCAGCTGTGGCACCACTCTGATTCAATCTTGTGCTGCTCCCTGAAAACTAATAATGTAAGTGATGAATCCCTTAATAATACTGTATCATCTACTGTAAGTGATGAATGGGGTTTCCTTGAAAACTTAAGGCGGAACATTATCCTTTATAATGTTTTGGTTATATATATGCAATGTACTTTTGATGGGTTGCTGACCCTCTATTTCACCTAAATTTAGGGATCGCCTGTCTTCACCTTTGCAAACCAAGCTGGGCTGGACATGCTGGAAACAACATTGGTGGCTCTCCAGGACATCATGCTGGATAAGATCCTGGACGACGCTGGGCGGAAGGTTCTGTGCTCTGAGTTCTCTAAGATCATGCAAGAGGTAATCTGGTCGTAATGTTTCTAGACTAATTAATCATCACAATCTGCATTGAAATGAAATGAGAATTGTTGTTTGACTCTACTTTGTTGCTTGCGCACTGCACAGGGGTTTGCATATCTGCCAGCAGGGATATGTGTGTCGAGCATGGGGCGACCGGTGGCCTACGAGCAGGCGATTGCATGGAAAGTAGTGAACGACGACGATTCGCATCACTGCCTGGCTTTCATGTTCGTCAACTGGTCCTTCGTGTGAAATCTATCTCTATGTATCTCAAGTTATCTATCTAAGTTATTATTAGGGCAGCTCTTGTCTGTGGAAAGATGCGCACTTTTCTAAAGCACAAACAGGAAATCTTAGGTATTATGGATGTTGGTTGTTAGTGTCTTAGTGACGTGTGAGTGGCATGGATGGATATATTGCCCATTTTGTTGGTGTTATTGTTGGTGGATACTGGTTCGTTGCTTGCTTATCAATTTTCCGTAACCCTTTTCAAGCGTTTCCTTATAAAATCCCAGTTCAATATTTGTTTGATAAAAAAAAAGGAGGGAAAGAAGGCAAGAGGCAGAGATATCGCACTGATCTTTCAAAACCCCTTTTCCTCACGAGCAGAACGAACCCTTTCATTTTCTTGCTGTGACGTGCAAGCTGCTGCTGGACTGTTCCTTTCCCCCTGTTCTATTGCAGTTTGATTTGGGGTAACGCAGTAGGTATAGTCATCTATTTTGTTTCTTTCTGTGTCATTGTTTGTACTGTGTATGGATCATGTAACGTACGTATAGATTACTACACGAGAGAGAGAGAGAGAGAGAGAGAGAGAGAGAGAGAGAGAGTAGTAAGTAATAAGGAAGCGCCATTAATGGATCAAATAGGCATGAATGATGAAAGCGGAAGCAGAGAAGCAGCAGACCAGAGCCGTCCCTTTATTACCATGGCAGAGAAGGGAGAGATTTAGTAGCATCTATCTATCTCGGGTTAATAGACAGAGACAGAGACAGACTATCAGATTTAATTAGTAGTAAGCTACTATCTCGAAGCATTGCCGGAGAGGTTGAAGCAGGCTGCTCTACTGCCTTACTTGACGCCGTTCGTTCACTAAAGAGAAGAGAGATTTATGGCGACATTGACACTCATAGAGGTATATAAATTTATGGTATTCGTCTATAATTAGCCAAGCCTAATCTATTAATTTTTTTTTATGGAAACCTGTGAAAGCCTAATCTGTTAATTATCTCCTGTAAATTGTATACTTATAACTACAACTTTAATACCAGGGTCCAAGCTCTTTTGGTGAGACATCATTTCTCCTTTCTTGCATGTCCACACCATATTTTTCAACAAATACATCATTTGCTGGTCTTAATCACACCATTAGAGAATTGTGAAATCATTCTTCAAGTAATCATATGATATTATACAAAAGAGAGACGAGATGAGAGAATCAAGAGATATGACTATACTTGTAGAAGAGCTGAAGCTTCGTATATACACTAGGGTTCAACAAACGAGCGAGTGTTCCAGCCGTAAGAACTAAGAAACCAACAATAGCCGCCCCACCGGGTTTGTGAGAATGTGTAACATTGGATCTTCCGATCAAGCCGACCAATTTCCCATCGATTTCTTTACAACTTGAAACCTCGAGGTACAACTAATATGAACAGATCTTTGATAAACTGATCCTGATTTTATTTATTATCCTTGATCCACATATTTTTTTTCTCTACATTTGTTATCTTGGCAGAAGTGAAATTCAATCCATTGAAGATGAACATGCCCACTTATTTCTTGGGGGAATTTGTTTCCCTTGGGAAGCCCTAAGCCAAGTAAATGAGATCTCGCTTAAAACCGTTAATTATTTCATCCCTTAAAGGACATGGAGACTCTGAAGAAATGAATGAGAGTGGATTCATGAAATTCGTTTGCAAATAGTAATACGTTATACAACGACATGTTGAATCTTCAGGCTCCCACCAAGATTACAATTTTTATTTTTATTTTTAATAATGATGGGATATATATATCAGGAGCTGTGCATGAAGAGAAGGTAGAATATTTCAAATAAGGAATGAGTATGATGGGGTCTTGTTCAATAAGATAATGTGTCCCTTTTTTGGGCAATTATCCTATTCCTCATGAATCATAACTTGATGTCTGACCAACTTCCTAAATCTATCACAAATTCCTCAAGTTGTTGTTTTTTGTTTTATGAATAATTGATAACAAGTTGTTAGAAAGAAGCAATTGATCACCTTTCTGTTTCAATCAATTTATCATCCCATCCATGCACCTCTTCCTTAATCCTTATCCTTTGGGAGGATTAGTTAGGTGATAGTATGATGCCAGCCATTGCAACCATTTTGAACGCGGCTGGGAAAACCACTCAGAAACGTAACGCAATCATAAAATTGTTGGTGCTCATCGAGTTACTTGGCCAAATAATAATTCACAACATCATATTTCATAACTGAATCGATCGCTAAAGAATGTATTGAAGAAAGAAGTTGACTACTAGCTAGCGTATCGGATTGGTACGAACGAGGCAGAAAGGTTAGGATTTGATAAAGATGATTAGGTGCTACCAAGTTGAGTGACCAATTAGAGGTTGAACCCCATTAGTAACTTGCTGGTTAAATCATTAAAGTCCAACCAAAGTGTTCTTCCTTTTAATGCATCTGTTCTTCAAATTTTCCAGAAAAAAGTATTGTTTCTTTTTTTACAAAAGTGTGTGTTACAAAAATACATAAAAATGTGGGTTCTGGCAAATAAAAGTTAACAGCCTTTAATACCACTCCTAATGATGACATGTATAGTACAAATATATTGACCAATAATGTGCCATTATTAGTAGGGAAAGACACCAAGATTTGGTCTGTTTATCACCATTAATTCAAATTGTAGTTTGTTATATATTCCATTAATATATATAATATAATAATAATAATGGTGTTATTATTTCTCCACGTCAATTCTGATGATGCTGCATTGGGACTCCTAAAATGTTATTCCTTTTGTCCATCCAATTACACTTTGCTCCTATCCATCATTCCACTGCCATGCATGGACCCTCCTAAACCACAACAAGCCAGGCAGACAGACACCATGTACAGAAAAGGAAAGAAGAAGAGGAGGTGCTAAATGAAAGCATGAGTACCAAAAATGATAGTAGTTTGGTCGGAGTTTATCGAAAGAAATATATCGATAATATTTCATATTGTTATAAGTAGACAAAAATTAGTGACGATTAGAAAAAAATAAACATATTACTAATACATTTCAATATATTTTGCAGCACATCGATTTTTTCCAAATGAGATACGAGTGATACTCAGTATCGTAAAAATTTGATTTATTAATTATGGACTTAAAGTTACGAGTGATTTTATGTGAAATAAACAACTTTAAGAAATCAGGTTGCAAAATTTGAAGAACTAAATTGATCTAATTTACAATTATAGTGGTTAAGAGACCACACTATAACAATTGAATGATTAATTGGAGATACTTATGATTGAACATGCAACGGTGAGAGTGGAGGAATGAGATAAGATCATAACCCCTTGAGAAGTTAGCATCATGCTAATTAGTCTAATAATTTTTAAATCAAGTTAGTAAATTTAGGATTACAATTAATTGAAGAATAATATGGTCCATATTTAATCAAACCTAATATAAATACTCCTCAGTTCTCTCTCCCACTCTCACACATCTCTCCCACACATGACAAAAACCTTACCATCTCTCTCCCGTGAAACATAACTCATCCCGTTCGTCAAAGTTAATAAGTTACACGCGACGAAGCAGTTCACATACTTATACGATTAGGGGCAGTGGTAAAGAGAGAGTGTGAAGTAGTGTTAATTTGATGTATTAGTGATTATATTTGTAGATATCAATACGCAATTGCTACAATGAGTAGTGATTCGTCTAACTATATTTGTAGATATTATTAATTAGTAGCTGTTTCTCACTTTTATTCTTTTCGAAATCATTGATTTTGTTTTTGTAGTTTTTACTTACCTATAGTAGTATTCCCCCCCCCCCCCCCCCCCCATTTGTAGTAGTTATTACTTATTTTTGGTAGTGATTCTTAGTAAAGTCGTCAATAACTATTAATAATAAAATTGGTATCATAAAAACTACTTAAAACAACTATAAAATCGCTACTAAATTACATGGTAAGAGGTTGTAATGTTGCGCAACAAATACCTCATGATTAGTTAGTGCTTCCTTTCCTTTTTCTTTGTCCCCCGCACACATAGAATATGCGAGGAAAGGAAAGAGACATATGGACATGATCGATGCTGAGGAAAGCAATTGACTTGCACATCTCACAAAGGTTGACATTTGCTCTCTCTCAACGCATATACTTTGGAGTGTAAACTTTCTTTCTCTTTTGCATCTTTACTCTTTACAAAAGGAAGGGGGAAAAGCATCCAAAGCTTGAAAATTTTCACTCCATTTATCTCTCTCTCTCTAATTTATCCATTGGATTCTTAAGAGGCAAGGAATGAGAGTGAGTGGGGAACACTCTCAATTGTTACTGCTGCATGCCCAAAACTGTACAACTGGTCTGTGTATATTTGTTGGTTGGGTGCTCTTCCTTTTTCCCTAATTTCTTTACATATATGATCTATAGCTGCTAGGGTTTTGAGGCTTGAAGTTTAGTGCAAGCCTGTCCCTCTCTTTCTCTCCCCTTCTTAAATTGATTTTGAAGCTTTTTAAGGTGCAAAGTTGATATCTATCCTTAATAAGATTTGCTAGTCCCACATGGAATTTGGAGTAATATATGTGAAAAGAAGAATAGGAAGAAGAAGATGATCATGAAGGTAGACTCATAGAAGAATGAAGACAGCTCCTGGGTTCATGATGACATTTGCACATGAATCACCATCACAAGATTACTCCTTTAATTATGTTCTACATTATTTTTTCTTTCTATTCTATGCATGAATCACATTGTAGGTATTATTATATTGAAATTTACATTAATATACGATTATGATGATTATCATATATTCGTGAATTTTTTAAAATTTATGATACGCTCCGCTTTCACTTTGTAATCTTTTTATATATAAAAATTGAAAATAGATGAGATATCATCATGAAAGAAGTTTTTTTTTATTTTGTTCAGCTTATTGTGTGAACATTTTTTCTTAGTTTTTGTAGAAATTATGGGACAAATGTAAATTTTATAATAAAAATATAGATGCTTCATTAAGTGTACATTGAATAATAACAACAGAGACGATGTATGTAGTGCGGAATCGAATTTTATGAAATTCCACACTATAAGAGCATCTATATCAAACTATCATATTTAATTGCAAAATTACATGACAATGAAAATGAAATCCAATGATGGAAGTGTCAATTGCAATAATTCAAAGCTACAAATTTTTGCAATTCCATTTTTTTATGTGAACCTATGATTCTTATTAACCAGTAGTCGGAGTCATACAGTCCAGCCATAACTAATCAACAAAAAAGATAGGTGGTCTATCAATCCAAACCACTAGACTGTCCCAGTTGGTCTCACTATGAGCCATGATGTGTGCCGCTTCATTCGCTTCTCTCTCACATGTTGCCATGGTCTCAATCCAGTTTCATCCAGCTCTCTCCTTATGCTTTTGGAAATGGTCCCTACCTCAGTCTGTATAGCATTTCCTTCTTTCAGCTTGTGTACTAAGATCAAGCAGTCTGTCTCTAACGTCACATTCATGTAATGGAGTTGGTGTGCCAGCCTTACTCCGAATTCCGCCACCGAAGCTTTCGCCTCCTCAGCTTCCCACATACCACTCACTTTTTGGGATGTCGCAAAGAGAAACTTTCATGTATCATCTCTCTCCACTACTCCCAAACCCGCTCCCCATCCTTGTAGAACACCCGCATCTGTGTTCACTTTCACCCAACCAATTGTGGTCGTTGTGGTCGTTGCCATTTCACCTGCAAATTATCTTGATGAATACTGTCTCCTCGTTGATGGTGGTCCTTGTACTCATGTAAAAAGCAGGACGCACGCGATACAATGGCGGTTTCCTCCATCTTGATCCCGTTAAAACAGTGAGCATTACGCTCCTTCCACAGATACCACATCAAAACACTCCATTCTTCACACTCCTCGTCTCCTGCTGTCTTGAAGACCTCCGCCACCCATTCAATACAGCTTCGGCCTGCATGCTTTTCAAAGCACCCAACAAGGCTTGTTGGTCGCCAAAGCTTGTAAGTCCATTCGCATTCCCAAAAGAAGTGGATCTGAGTTTCCCGAATCCCACAAAAAGCACATTTGTCTCCTCTTCTCTTGCTCCGTACACTCAAGTGGTTCCCTGTAGGTAACACGTCACGAGCAAAACGCCACATGAAATGGGGTATTTTCGGCGGCACATTAAGAGACCAAAGCTTGTTCCATGTTTCGGCATCACAAACTATATAATGTCGTGTCTTGTTATTCCAGATTAAGTCGTCCATCTCTCCAGCACTTCTCAACGGAATGCACAAAATGGCGTTAACCATCGCTGTTGGGAAACAGCTTTCAATAATTGTGCGATCCCATTATTCTGTCTCCAGATTGATGAACTCTCTAACCGTGGCATCAACAGGCAGACCTTGGGGCGGCGACATGATGTAAGTGTTCTTCCCTCATGGTAGCCATCGGTCCCCCCATATCCGAACGGACACACCATTCCCTATTCGTCATCTCATCCCTCCAATCAGGAAATCTTGCACTCCCATCAGGCTGCGCCATATGTAACTAGGCTGATATCCTAAACTGCCATTTAGAATATCGGTTGACTTATGATACTTGGCTTTTAGAACTCGTGCTATAATGATTTCTGGTCTTTGAGCTAAATTCCAAAGCTGACTCGCCAAAAGAGCTACATTGAAGCCTCCCAGGTCCCTAAACCCATCCATGCTTCTTGTTTTGGCGCCATCATAGCCTCTCTTCGAATCCAGTGGGCACGTTTGTCATCCTGTTGTTGGCCCCACCGAAAGTTCATTATCAAGTTCTGGATTTCATCAATGGTGCCCTCAGGAACTCGAAAAACTGACATAGCATAGGTTAATTGAGCATGTGTGACATATTTGATTAGGACTTCCCTTGCTGCAACTGACATAACCTTCTCTTTCCATCCTTTAAGTTTATTTATGATCTTCTCTTTTATTCCAACAAACAACTCCTTCTTCGAGCGACCCGCCTCAGTGGCCAAGCCAAGATACTTCTCATGTTTGTCAACAATATGCATATTAAGGACATAACCCACTTCCAGCTTGCGGTGCGGCTTCACATTGCAGCTAAACGTGACTTCGGACTTAGAAAAGCTCACTAGCTTCCCCGACTCCACCTGATAATCGTGGAAAATTTTCTTTAGTTTAGTGGCCTCCTGGATAGTAGCCCTGCCAAAAAAGAAACTATCATCAGCAAAAAATAGGTGAGACACTGTCAGGGCCATTTTAGTCACCATGAACCCATGGCGTCACCCCTCCTCAACTGTCAGCTGGATCCATCTATCGGCAAAACCCATCCTTCTCATTACTCCTTCTAGGAAGTGCCACTCTACACGATTATAGGCGTTTGCCATGTCTACCTTTGCTGCAAAGTATCCTTGACTTTTTTTCGGTTGCCTCTTCAGGGAATGGAAGCATTCAAAAGCCATGATAATATTATCAGTTATGGATCTTCCTGGCACAAAGGCACTCTGCTCTGGGGATATCACTTTTTCCAGCAGTCCCTTTAATCTATTCGCCAACACCTTTGCCAAAATCTTATAAAGAAAGTTACATAGACTGATAGGCCAAAATTCCTTAGGCGATGTCGGGGTCTTACCCTTCGGAATTAAGGCTATCAGTGTATGATTAAGGTCCCCCGGCATGCATCTAGTTTGGAAAATCTCCATCACCATCTCCGTCACAGCGCCTCATACTATCCCCCAATACTTCTGAAAAAAATAGAGCCGACATACCATCCGGTCCTGGAGCTTTCCGCGACCCCATTTTCTTAAGAGCATCAGTGATCTCTTCTTCAGTTACCGGCCGCAGTAGTCGCTCATTATCCTATTCGGTGATGCTCGCCCGTATAAAATTCAGCACTGACGACTCCTCGGGAACAGGACCTACACGGAAAAGATCAGAAAAATAATTGTTCAGACAGCCGAACAACTTTTCCAAACCCACGTGCCATCTTCCCACTTCGTCTCGCAACTTCCGAATCGTGTTACTGTTCCTCCTTCTTCTGGCTGAAGCTTTCCTATGAAAGAAATTCGTATTCTTATCTCCCCATGTAGCCAATCAGCCCGCGATCGCTGCTTCCAGAATAGTTCCTCATTCGCTTCCAGCTCCTCTAATTCCTTTTCCAACTCCTACCTTTGTTGAATGACTTGGGGAGTCTTGGCAGAGCACTCGATCACTCCAAAAGCTTTCCTAATATGGTTTCTTTGTTTTGGGAAGTTTGGGAAAGTAGCTCTACTCCAAGTATCCAAACTTCTTCTACATCTATTAATTCGTTCCATCACGCTGCCATCTCCACCTCGCCACGCCTCCTCAATCACCTGTGGGCATGCCTCATGTTTTGACCAATGAGGCTCGAATTTGAAACTCCAACCCCATTTGATTTCCTCACTGTCTTCTCCCCTCGTCTCATAGAGGAGTGGCCGATGGCCCGACCTGTTCCAATCTAAGTGTGCGACTCGAGCAGTTGAAAACAAGTCCGACCATTCATCTCGTGCCACAAATCGATCCAGTCTCTCCTCCCATTATCCCATGTGAAGGGGTATCCCCTGAATCCTAAGTCATAAAGGCCGCAGTCCAATAGACATTCCCGAAAAACCTCCACTTCTCTATCCGGAACAACATTGCCTCCTTTCTTCTCAAGCTACGAGGTGATTTGGATGAAATCCTCGCCGCATAACCAAGGTCCGGCCCATTCATGAGACAGAACTCGCAAGGCTTCCCAGGTGTTTGCCTTTTCATCCGATTCCAACCAACCATATACCCCCATAAACCTTTAAATCCCTTCCATTTCCTCTTTAATTCTTGCATCAATGTAATGTAGTGTAACATCCATTATTTCAAATCCACTTCCTCCATCCACCATAGGCAAATGCCACCCGCCCGCCTTCCATTGGAGGTGTCAGTAGAGTAACTCACCCCAGCTGTGAACCCCATGGAGATTCGCAGCTCTTCATTCTCTATCGCAAGTTGCTTTGTCTCCATTAAAAAGACAACTTGTGGGGAAACTTGACGCAAAAGCGTCCTTAGAGATTTAACTGCTCGTTTGTTTCACAATCCATGGTCGTTATAACTCATGATTCTCATTTATTTCTTGAATGTGATAGGTTCCCCGCACCTTTTCCATCATGATTAGTCATTTTTTATCCTTTATGTCCTCGGCCATCTCCTCCACCTTTGTTCGTCCCTGTGACGGGAGCTTTGTCACTTATTTCAGAAGTCTTACTCACCCTTTCTCGTCCCGCCGCGACGTTCTGATTGAGATTGCCCTCCTTTACACTCCCTCCAACGTCATTATTCTTATGCTTAATTCTTTCCTTGTGTCTATCTGCAATGCTACGTGCATGGCCATGCTCAGAGCCATGTGCTCCTGTTTCTTTCCCATGACCCTCTTGTGCTTGTTCTTTTATTTTGTCTTTGTCTTTCTCTGATTCATTGTAACCTTGGTCCCTCCCCGGGTTCTTTTTCTCTGCACTCATATTCCTAATTCGCGTCTCTTCCCATTTCATATGTGTTGTTTGGAAGCTTGCTTACATCTTGACTCGCATCTTTCAGCTCTTGTGTCTCGGGAAATCCTTTCTCTTCTTCCACCAAGGTTGCAAATCGATTTTGGGTTTGTCCTTCTTCTTGATTAATACGTATATCGCCATGTAGCCTACCATGACCATTCATCAGTCCACCAACCGCTCTATAACTCAGCCTTTTATCTTTACGCTTCACAGTCATCCAATCGCCATACATTCTCCCCTCCGTTAGAACCTCCTGTTGTGTTTCTGGGACCACCTCCATAACTTCCTACTCTTCCTGCATTGGTGGTTGCGCTTGTTTCTCTTGACAATTGACATCGACATTCAGCCGTTGTGGCCCCATAAATGCCACACTCAGAACATATTTTGTACATGCCTTCGTACTGGATTAGATACGTGATGCCTTCGATCTTGAACTGTGATAATAAAGGTCTAGTTAGGTCAACTTCCACACATACCCTAGCATATTTAACCCGAGCTCCAAGCTCAGTTGGTTTATCAACTCTTATCGGGCGACCAATCTTCTCCGCTATCCTTCTTACTGCTTCCGGGTTGAAGAATTCCACTGGGAGTTCTAGCAGTTGAACCCAAACAATGGTATGTGATTTCCACGGGGTAAAACCCTTATACCATTGATGCACGGTTAAGTATGTATCCCCCAGCATTCATGGGCCTCCTTGTACCGCATTCTCATAATCATCCTTTTCATTGAATCTTACCACCAAGAAGCGTCCATTTTTCATATCCGAGATTTGGAGATTTCCTTTCCTTTCCCATAGAAAGTTGAGACTGCGTGCAATGATCTGATATGTTATATTTCTCCCGAGGCCCTTCACGGCCAGAGCTTAACGCCATTCTCGACGCTACCTCTTCTTTTCATCAACTGTGTAGATAATGGTCGGGCAATGCGGGTTTTCTTCTTCTTCCATAATGTTTTCATCATCTTCCTTCTCATCTTGGAGAACATCTTCTGTATCAGAATCCGATACATACCACTCATCTCCCTTGAGCACTTCGCTGATCAGTCTAGGCTTCCCTGTGTTCCAAGCGTTTGGTGTGGTGAAATCTTCCTCTTTGTCTTTCATCATATCTCCCATCAATGAGTCCTAATGATCAGTGTCGCTATTTATTCCTTGTTGAGTCAGTTTCATCGATCGCACCTTCTTTTTTGCCTGGACAACTTCCTTCTCCCTCTTAGCGTACGGAGACGAGGACTCTGTCCACTTTGCCACGCCTCCTCAATCACCTGTGGGCATGCCTCATGTTTTGACCAATGAGGCTCGAATTTGAAACTCCAACCCCATTTGATTTCCTCATCGGCTTCTCCCCTCGTCTCATAGAGGAGTGGCCGATGGTCCGATATGTTCCAATCTAAGTGTGTGACTCGAGCAGTTGAAAACAAGTCCGACCATTCATCTCGTGCCATAAATCGATCCAGTCTCTCCTCCGTAAACCCAACTCTCCTCCCATTATCCCATGTGGAGGGGTATCCCTGAATCCCAAGTCATAAAGGTCGCAGTCCAACAGACATTCCCGAAAATCCTCCACTTCTCTATCCGGAACAACATTGCCTCCTTTCTTCTCAAGATGCGAGGTGATTTGGTTGAGATCCTCGCCGCATAACCAAGGCCCGACCCATTAATGAGACAAAACTCACAAGGATTCCCAGGTGTTTGCCTTTTCATCCGATTCCGGCCAACCATATACCCTCATAAACCTTCAGATCCCTTCCCTTTCCTATTTAATTCTTGCATCAATGTAATGAGTGTCACATCCATTATTTCCAAACCCACTTCCTCCATCCACCATAGGCAAACGCCACCCGCCCGCCCTCCATTGGAGGTGTCAGTAGAGTAACTCACCCTAGTTGTGAACTCCATGGAGATTCGCAGCTCTTCATTCTCTATCGCAAGTTGCTTTGTCTCCATTAAAAAGACAACTTGTGGGGAAACTTGACGCAAAAGCGTCCTTAGAGATTTAACTGCTCGTTTGTTTCCCAATCTACGGTCTTATAGCTCATGATTCTCATTTATTTCCCGAAGGGGATAGGTTCCCCGCACCTTTTCCATCATGATTAGTCATTTTTATCCTTTCTGCCCTCGACCATCTCCTCCACCTTTGTTCGTCCCTGTGATGGGAGCTCTGTCACTTATTTCGGAAGTCTTACTCACTCTTTCTCGTCCCTCCGCAACATTCTGATTAAGATTGTCCTCCTTTACACTTCCTCCAACGTCATTATTCTGGTGCTTAATTCTTTTCTTGTGTCTATCTGCAATGCTATGTGCATGGCCATGCTCAGAGCCATGTGCTCCTGTTTCTTTCCCGTGACCCTCTTGTGCTTGTTTTTTTATTTTCCTTTGTCTTTCTTTGATTCATTGTAACCTTGGTCCCTCCCCGGGTTCTTTTTCCCTGCACTCATATTCCTAATTCGGTCTCTTCCCATTCCATATTTGTTGTTTGGAAGCTTGCTTACGTCTTGACTCGCATCTTTGAACTCTTGTGTCTCGGGAAATCCTTTCTCTTCTTTCGCCAAGGTTGCAAATCGATTTTGGGTCTGTCCTTCTTCTTGATTAGTACGTCTATCGCCGTGTAGCCTACCATGACCATTCATCAGTCCACCAACCGCTTTATAACTCGGCCTTCTATCTTTATGCTTCACAATCATCCAATCATACATTCTCCCCTTCTTTTAGGGGTGGGCATTGGTTCGGTTCGGTCAAAATCAAACCGAATAGAGTATACCGGGTTCCCGATTTACCCCAAACTCAAAACCGTATTCGAACCAAAATATAATTCGGTTCGTTTTGGCCGAACCGAGTTATATTCCGTTTACGTTCGGTTTCACACTCAAAACCAAATTATGTAGAGGGATAAAAAGAGGAGTCACATAATGGGAGAGAGAGAAAGAGAGAGCCGCTCCAAGTTACACCTCATTTCTCCTTCGTCTGAACCCTTTTATTTTTCCAAGACCCTTGCTAATTAAAAGAAAGAAAACCCATTTCTTCCATCTCTTTCTTTTTCCCGGGGCCATCGATGAGAGAGAGAGAGAAGCAGTAATAACATGAAGATTGGAGGCGGCTTCTCGGTGGCTAAATTTTTCAATCTCCCAAGCTTCGATGACAGCTGCAGCCAAGCTCGATGACAACGACGGGCAAGCTTTGATGATGTCCCAAGCTTCGATGACGACGACAGTTGGATTTTTCGGTCTCCCAAGCTCCGATGACGACGGTGGCTCGATTTGAAACATCGACAACATCCAAGCTTTGATTACGGCGACGACCAAGCTTCGATGATCTCCCAAGCTTTGATGACAGCGACGATTGGAGTTTTCTGTCTCCCGAGCTTCCATGACGTCGACGACTGGATTTACAATATCGACCATCGATGGGAATTGGGATATGAGACTATGAGTGGTGTTTACTGGTTACCGCCTTCTCCCCGTTGCCGATTCAACCTTGTGTTGTTGGGTGCTGTGGGAAATGAGATAGGGATAGAGATAAGGGGATATGGGTGGTGGTGGGAGGAGGTGACTGCCGAGCGGGAGTATGGACTTAGGGTTGTAATCTTGTGGGGAAAATGGGCTTGGGGAGAGGGTTTCTTTGGGCTCTGGGAGTCTGGGCTGGGGAGTAATAATGGGCTCAGTTAGCATTCAACCCATATTTCGGTCGGTCGGTTTGAAATTTGGAAAATCGGTTCGGTTGAGAGAGCATTGGTTCCCGAATTATCCAGATTTCTATTCCAAGTTCCGAACCGAACAAGAATAGTTCGATTTCAGTTCGGTTCAAATCTGTTTCAGTTCGGTTTGGGTTTACCGAACCGGATGCCCACCCCTACCTTCGTTGGATCCTCCTGCTGTGTTTCAGGGACCACCTCCATAACTTCCTCATCTTCCTGTATTAGTGGTTGCGCTTGCTTCTCTTGACATCGGCATTCAGCCGTTGTGGCCCCATAAATGCCACACTCATAATATATTTTGTACATGCCTTCATACTGGATTAGATACGTGATGCCTTCGATCTTGAACTGTGATAATAAAGGTCTGGTTAGGTCAACTTCCACACATACCCTCGCATATTTAACCCGAGCTCCAAGCTCAGTTGGTTTATCAACTCTTATCGGGCGACCGATCTTCTCCGCTATCCTTCTTACTTCTTCCGGGTTGAAGAATTCCACTTGGAGTTCTAACAGCTGAACCCAAACAATGGTATGTATGACTTCTGATTTCCACGGGGTAAAACCCTTATACCATTGATGCAAGGTTAAGTATGTATCCCCTAGCATTCATGGGCCTCCTTGTATCGCATTCTCATGATCATCCTTTTCTTTGAATCTTACCACCAAGAAGCATCCATTTTTCATATCTAAGATTTGGAGATTTCCTTTCCTTTCCCATAGAAAGTTGAGACTGCGTGCAATGATCTGATACGTTATATTTCTCACGAGGCCCTTCACGGCCAGAGCTGAACGCCATTCTTTGACTGCTTTGGTTGTTACCGGTGCCATTGGATTGAAGCGGAGGCAAGATTTGCAGCTTTGGGCTATGGTTGGGAGGTTGTGATCGACTTTGGTCGGAGTTTGGGGTTGTGATCGGCGAGCGAGGGCTGAAATGAGAGATGACGACGAGCAAGAGGGGTGGCGAGCGACGCTACCCCCCACTACTTGCCTCTTTCTTTATTTTCACAGGGTTAGCCGAGAGTGTGAGGCGGGCGCAGTGGGCTAAGGTGTTAGAACTGCGCTGCTACGGATCGGTAAATCGTTGGAATCGACAAAGCAAGAAAACGAAAACAGAAAGCATACGACACACGATTTACGTGGTTCACTAACACACTGTGTGTTAGCTAGTCCACGGACAGGAGAGCTAGTTTCACTATATCGAGGATATTACAGAGGAGATGAGAAGTATTTATACTTCTTCGTGTGGGTCTAAACCTAATCCAATATGGTAAAGGAAACGGTTACATACCAGGTCCAGAACCCGAACCCAAATAGCATTGAGCCCGTACACCGTGGCCGGGGGCGTTACTCCCACACCCCCACCGGGGCTTTGCCCCTGGACCCCACTCGCTGATCGGGCAATGAAACCCCCGACTATTCCAGTCGTAGCGGCTGATAGTCTGATTCAAAGTCACATCAACATGAGGAATGAGAGGTGAGAGGTTTGGGCCGAGGCCGAGGGTCAGTTGGGGTGAGGGGGCGATGTATTATATGTGGGCTATGTACATTAATTCAGTTGTTTGGTTTGGTGATCGAATTTCGGATTCGGTCGAGAGAATCCGAGAGAATGAAGTATGCCTTCATAATTTATGTCTTCTCTGCCGAACTCTATTAAGTGAAACTATGATCCTAGTGTATCCCTTCCGAATTCTGAACCAACAACATTATTTATGTTTCGGTTTTGGTTTTGACAACCTTGCTAGTTAGTAAACTGCCCAGTTAACACTGCGGAGAGAGTGGTATGGTATGATGATGATGGTGCTGCTGAGAGAAGCAAAGCAAGCTCTCAGGCGCAGAGAGACAGACAGACACATACACAGTCGTAGAGAGAAAAAAGGAACAAAGCCACCTTCTTCCCTCCCATTCCCATATCTTTTCTATTAATGCTCTCTCTCTCTCTCTCTCTCTCTTCAGTCTATCACTACTTTTTTACAGGGAAAAAACCCCAAAGAAAACAGAGTAATAATTAACAGTCCAAGCGAAGCAGCCCCAAGTTTTGCTCTTTTCTCTCTCTCTATAGTCTATACCTCACAATAATCCCCTTAATTAGCCGAATAATAACCCACCTGGCGTCACTACAATTTGGACTCAATAATCCCCTTTCCTCTCACCAAAAAAATAAAAAGAATCCCCTTCCCATTCCCCTGTTTTTGCTCTGCCCTCTGTTTTTCGGTTTTTTGTTGCTTTATCTATTTATACTTGCGAGTAAATACACAGCAGAGCAGACACAAACAAGGAAAGGAGCAAAGGGTCTCTCGAGATTGGCGTCTTCGAGGCAAAGACCTCTCAAAAAGGAACCCCTCCTTCTCCGCCTTCCCTCCAATTCCCTTTCTCTAAACTCGGGGCATTCAGAATTCAGACACAGAGAGAAAGAGAGCGAAAAAACAAAATAAAAAACCCCACAACAACTCTTTCTTTCCCTGTGATGGAGGAGAGAGGAGGCTCTCTTAGAGGAGAGTGAGCCTGCTGCCTTAGCTTCAAACGCCCATACTAGAAGAACATAATCCAGAGCTCTCTCTATATTCTTCTCAACCCACCAGCAATAACAAACCTTTACCCCTCTCTACCATTTTTCCCCCTTCCTCTTTCCATCTTTCAACACCAAAATCCCAGAAAGAGTAGCCAGCCAGGTTTCTGGGTTTTCATTATTTGTTGTTGTAGTAGTTTGTAGGGTAGTATAACTATGGCTCTGTCAATCCACCATAGCAATCATAATGAGGCGTTGTTCAATAAGAACCAACAACAGATGGATTCCAGCAAGTACGTTCGCTACACTCCGGAGCAAGTAGATGCGCTGGAGAGGGTTTATGCTGAATGCCCCAAGCCCAGTTCTTTGAGGAGGCAGCAGCTCATTCGGGAGTGCCCTATTCTTTCCAACATCGAGCCCAGACAGATCAAAGTCTGGTTTCAGAACCGAAGGTTGATAAAAGAATGTAGCTTTTGGAAGTTATTAGCCGTTTTCTTTGTCAATCTCTCTTCGGTCTCCATTTCCCCCCTTTTCTGCCATATATTTTCCGGGTCTTATGGGTTTACGCTATCTCCTCCAATTTCCATTCCCTTTTGCTTTCTTTTTGTGTTTTCCCTCCCGGAAGAACTGGGTTTCGTTCAAGAAAGTCCGCTGCTTTTGTGTGTTTCATTGGGTTTTCTCTTCATACCTTCGTGCTGTGGAAGCCCTTGCTCTGTTTCCTTTTATTCTGAAGTGTCAATTGTTCTTTAGCTTGATTGTGTAATACAGGTGGGAAATTTGTTGTGACCCTGCCCTATTATTTTCACAGATAAAGCGGAATGATTTTAACCAGTTATCAGACATTCCGCTGCACTAGACCTCTTGAAAGTGAAGTTTTACCATCTATACGACTTTCACTTATTTCCTTTTCCCTGTGCCCTTTCACCCACACCTTTCAAAATCACAATGAGTGCCTTTCTGGGAGAAATTAATTCCCTGATATCGACATCAATACCCTTTTCTTCTCTTTGTTTTACTCTCTTCCTTTCCTGTTCTTAATTTTTCCATTGGGGTCTTGCGTGGTCAGTGCATTGAGGTGATTATTATTGTTGAACAGATGTCGCGAGAAGCAAAGGAAAGAAGCATCCCGTCTTCAGACGGTGAACAGAAAGCTGACAGCAATAAACAAGCTGTTGATGGAAGAGAATGACCGTCTGCAGAAGCAGGTCTCTCACTTGGTGTATGAGAATGGTTTCATGCGCTCACAGATCCACAGTGTAGGGGACCTTAACTCATGACTCTTCTCTATTAGCAGTGTTAGTTTTTTAATGTCGCTGAGTGCTGTATTTTCATTTATTACTACACATTCATTCATTCATTTTGGTCTTTTGGATCGTTGAACAGGCTTCGGCAACGGCCACAGACAACAGCTGCGAGTCTGTGGTCATAAGCGGTCAGCAGCAACAGCAGCAGCAAAACCAATCAAGTCAGCATCCGCAAATGGATGCTAACAACCCAGCTGGGTAAACATTTTCACCTCTGACCTGCTACAACAGTTTATCTGACTGAATTGATTCTCTCGAAATGAGTTTAACGTTGTTGTACAATGTGGTTTCTACGTTTGTGTAGTCTTCTCGCAATAGCTGAGGAGGCCCTCGCAGAGTTCTTGTCCAAAGCTACAGGAACTTCTGTCAACTGGGTTCAGATGATTGGGATGAAGGTGGCAACTTTATATTTTTGCTAACTCTCTAATATTTGATTAATTAATCAATTTGTGCTGATTTGATTTCGTTATATTGTTATATATGTGTAGCCTGGTCCGGATTCTATTGGCATCGTAGCTGTTTCCCGCAATGGTAGTGGAGTAGCAGCACGAGCCTGTGGCCTCGTGAGTCTTGAACCCATGAAGGTGTGTGCATTTTTTTTTACACTGCCTCAAATGTGGCAGCATTATCTTAAGTTATTTTGTTTTGGATTTATGATTGACTGTTAATTATTGTGGTTTTTGCAGGTCGCTGAAATCCTCAAAGATCGTCCATCTTGGTATCGCGACTGTCGATGCCTTGATATGTTGAGTGTGATTCCTACTGCCAATGGAGGCACAATTGAGCTCATTTATATGCAGGTCTTTCTTTCATTTCCTCATCCTTGTATTTGAATATTTATATGGTTTATTTAGTATGATTGCTGACCTTGGTTGCTTGATTCTCATCTCTTTCATGTATGCTTATTCTGCCAGACATATGCACCAACCACATTGGCTGCAGCAAGAGACTTTTGGACTCTGAGATACACCACCACAATGGACGATGGCAGTATTGTGGCAAGTCCAATGCACTTAATATCATTTGTCGAAGGAAAGTGGATGTCTTGTATCCCAATATGTGGAGTAACTTATTCTCACGCCCACTCCTTTTCTTTTATGCAGATTTGTGAGAGGTCCTTGACGGCTTCTACAGGTGGTCCAGCTGGGCCAACATCATCAGGCTTTGTTAGGGCTGAAATGCTTCCAAGTGGATATCTAATTCGACCTTGCGAGGGTGGAGGTTCCATGATACACATTGTTGACCATGTTGATTTGGATGTAAGAACCAAATTCTATTTAATTTGCTCTCTAATGAGTACTATTTTCTTCTTAATTCAATTTCAGTATCATTCTGAATAATTCATCTTGATTATTCTCCTAGGCTTGGAGTGTCCCTGAAGTTCTGAGGCCTCTATATGAATCTTGCAAAATTATTGCTCAGAAAATGACCCTTGCGGTAAGATTGAGCACGACCGCTGCTGTGTAATTTATTGACATAAATCTCTTAATTTGTTGATTATATGTTTTGCTGCAGGCCTTGCGGCACATTCGACAAATAGCACAAGAGACTAGTGGAGAAATTCAGTATGGTGGAGGCCGCCAGCCTTCGGTGTTGAGGACATTCAGTCAGAGACTCTGCAGGTACTGATAAATCTATTGTGAAAACAAGTTCATCTGTCTTAATCTGTACCTTTAAAATTTTCTTGTTATGGTGCTCAACTAACATATCTTTGGGATTTTGATTCCAGGGGGTTCAATGATGCTGTCAATGGATTTGCAGACGATGGATGGTCCCTCCTGAATGGTGATGGTGTGGAGGATGTAACTATTGCCATTAACTCGTCTCCAAACAAATATCTTGGTTCACAGTATCATGGGTCGATATTCCCAACTTTTGGTGGAGGGGTGCTCTGTGCAAGGGCATCAATGTTGATTCAGGTAATTTGTTGTCGGTTGCTGTTTTACAATTTTGACTTTGCAAACCGGATAGGAATTCAACTGTTGTACCTCTTTACGTGGGTGCAGAATGTGCCTCCAGCTTTGCTTGTTCGGTTTCTAAGGGAACATCGTTCTGAGTGGGCTGATTATGGAGTTGATGCCTATTCTGCCGCATGTCTCAAGTCCAGTCCATATGCTGTTCCATGTGGCAGGGCTGGTGGTTTCCCTAGTAGCCAAGTCATCTTGCCTCTTGCTCGTACAGTGGAGCACGAAGAGGTGAGGCTTGGAATACATGGATTCACTTAATACTATTGAACTTATCATTAAGGCTTCGGATTTAAAATTTTCCTTGCAACTGCAGTTCTTGGAGGTGGTCCGTTTGGAGGGTCAGGCCTTCTCGCCTGAGGAGATGGCTCTAGCACGGGATATGTACCTGTTGCAGGTTATTTCACTACTCAGTTTCATTTGAATTCCATCCCTGACAAAATCACCGCAAGTTATTGAGTTTTTTGGAATTATATCTGCAGTTATGTAGTGGGGTTGACGAAAATGCTGTTAGCGCCTGTGCTCAACTTGTTTTTGCCCCTATCGACGAATCATTTGCTGACGATGCTCCTCTTCTTGCATCTGGATTTCGTGTCATCCCACTGGATGGTAAAACGGTAAGCCTACATTGATTAAATTCTTTTGTGCCATGATGTCAACTTCAAGTCCTAATCATTTGTTTGTAATATATAGGATGGGCCTGCTTCAAGTCGTACTTTAGATTTGGCATCTACCCTTGAAGTTGGGGCAGGAGGGGGTACTCGTCTGGCCACTGAGTCTGACTCAAACAGTTACAATCTGAGATCAGTCCTCACAATTGCATTCCAGTTTAGCTTTGAGAATCATTTGCGTGATGATGTGGCGGCCATGGCTAGGCAGTACGTGCGCAGTGTTGTTGCCTCTGTTCAGAGGGTTGCAATGGCAATTGCACCTTCTTCTGGCCTAGGTTCTCAAGTTGGTGGCAAATCATTCCCTGGCTCCCCCGAGGCTCTCACTTTGGCTCGCTGGATCTATAGGAGTTACAGGTGTGTTGGTTATATTACTTTCCACATTACGTCTTACCTCATTTAGAGTTCCAAGGTGCAGAATTTTAACTGGTGCTGACTGTTGAAAAGGGTGCATACTGGAGGTGATCTCTTCCAAATGGAATCTCAAGCCGGGGATGCTTTGCTGAAGCAGCTGTGGCAACACTCTGATTCGATCATGTGCTGCTCCTTGACAAGCAATGTAAGTAATGCCTTTCCATGGAAAGGTTAATCTTCTTTGTAATGTTTCGTTTTATATTTATGCTGGTTGTATTCTGATGGAGTTGCTGCACCTGTATTGCCAAATTTCAGGCATCACCTGTTTTCACCTTTGCAAACCAAGCTGGGCTGGACATGCTGGAAACAACATTAGTGGCGCTTCAGGACATTATGCTGGATAAGATCCTCGATGAAGCTGGGCGGAAGGTTCTGTGCTCTGAGTTCTCTAAGATCATGCAAGAGGTAAGTTGACCTTTATGTTTCTAGACTTAATCAATCATATTACAAACTGCATTGAAATGCAAATATGAATTCTAGTTGACTCGACATTGTCGGTTGCACTGGACAGGGTTTTGCATATCTGCCAGCAGGGATATGTGTGTCGAGCATGGGGAGACCGGTGGCCTACGAGCAGGCGATTGCATGGAAAGTACTGAACGACGATGATTCCCATCACTGCCTGGCTTTCATGTTCGTCAACTGGTCCTTCATGTGAGATATATAATCTCTATGTACCCGAAGTTATCTAAGTATTATTAGTAGGGCCGTTATTCTGTGTGGAAGATGCACACTTTTGTGAAGTACAAACAGGTAATCTAGGTATTATGGATGCTGTTGGTTATTAGGGATGTATGTCTGCCATTTTGTGAATGGTGTTGAATATTTGATGGAGACTGGTTGGTTTGGTTGCCATCATCTTTTGTTTTGAAAGTGGAATGCTGTTATTGAGATGTTTAGTAGGACTTGTGGTTTGGTCTATGGGTGGTGGGATGGGGATTTGGGGCCATCATCAACCTTGTGATTAGGTGGTGTATGGTAAGATCAGAGCAGGTACCAATGGTCTCAACCTGAAACCTGTGACCCAACTGTCTTGCTGACATAGATGGATGGGATTGGGAGGAGCCCTATGTCATGTGATGTGATGGTGGACATGCATGTGCATAACTGCATATACCATACCATAAATACAGATCACATATGGCCTTAATTTGCTTAAGTGGCAGCAGCATCTGCAGCAGCAGCACGATATATAACAGAAAGAGACGGCATTCATGTTCTTACTGTAAGCAACTAGAAATGTAGAGTCCCAAGTCTGGTGTGTAGGGTTTCGCAAGCAAGTGTTAAGTGGTTTGGTTTTAAATGGAGTGATGATCAATTTTAAACGTATACCCTTTTCAAGCGTGTTTCATGATTGATATGATAGAGAACATAGATGTCCAAAGTCCATTTCCTTTTTCTTAATTAACCAGTTAGGATACATATACATGTGTGTTCTGGAAAAGGATGTTCCTCCGAGCCCAGAAAGGTGCATGCGAGAAGCGCCACCACACTGTATAGTATATTAGTACGCCATTTCCAAGCCTCGTGTCCCTCTCCCCACACCCTTTTTCCTGTATAAAGAAAGGAGGGGAAAGAAAGTAAAGCACTTCTACTACTACTACTACTACTGTACCGGCGTGCTGCGTGCAACGGCAGAGAGAGATATCACAATCCATGCCCATTCCCCTTCCCCTTCCTCTCTTTCGTGGGTAAGCTGCTTTTCTGTCCGTCTTAAAATATCATCACAACCCAAAATTTCTCTTCTTCTCATGCTTCCACTTTACTCTCTCCCTCTCTCTCTCTCTCTTAATAAAAGGGAAGAAAGAAAGAAAGAGCCCTTTTCCCCTTTCCTTTTCCTGTTGTGGCTTGGGTTGCCCAAGACAAGAGTGACAAGGAAGGAAGGATCCGGGTCGCGTGATGATCTGCTCTGCTCTGCTTTTTTTGGGTGGCCTTTTTTCTTTGCTCCATCAGATCCCCCTTTTTTAAATGCAACTGCCGCATTCCTGCTACCTAGCTAGCTGCTGCACTGTTCCTTTTTCCCTTTTTGCTTTCCAATTGGCAAATATATATATAATGCAGTCCTAGTAATAGTAGCAGCCAGTAATCTATTTTGTTTCTTTCTGTGTCATTTGCTTAGTGTTGTGTAACATCGTGTAACGTACATACAGACTACACGAGAGTGAGAGAGAGAGTAGCAAGAAGCATTAAGTAACCAAGGCAGGAGAAAGAAAAGATTTAGTAGCATCTAACTCGGGTTTATAGACTATCATATTCGTAGCTGCCTATGTGCCATCCCACAATGAATGGTCGATTCTGCTGTATTATTACTACCTCTATCAGACTATTATGCAACAGGGTTTGACCCAATTCACCTTTAAAAAAAAAAAAAAAAAAGTTTTTTAACCTTTCCAAGAAGCATTTAATTTACCCTTTCCATCATCCTAATGCTGCATTCTGAAAACCAGAGTGTACTTAGAAGCTCTTTACAAAGAGCTCTTGTCTGTTTCCCGTTCAAAGTTAATAATCTGTGTCTCACTCTGTATCTGTTGCATTGGTCAGGCAGGCACAGAGGCTGGGGTTTTTCTCTTAATACTTTTTTGGACTGCAGCGTTTGGTGTTTTGGTTGTATATGCTCTTTCGTTTTCCTACCTACAGGGTTGAAGAACCAGGCAGCCAGAGGTTTCATGATTGCTTGCTGCAGCTCAACTCTGATTTGGGGGAGGGAGGGCAGAGGGGATTTCATGCAATAAGAAGGAACAGAGCATTGGGGTTTGCGTTGGACTTGGACCTCTCTCTCTCTCTTTCTTCTCTGTTATACTTGCTACTACCACTGCAAGGAAATTGGAAGCAGAAGTTTGCATTGCAATATTGCAGACTAAGACTAACAAAGGTTGAATTTTACGAACGTCGTCGACGGACCGCCACTTGGAAATTGAGTGGACGTCTGGTTTTCGCCATTTCCTCCTTCCTGGGTGTTGTCATGATTTGTTATCTTTGTTTTGGCCGCACGAAATTCTGAGCCCAACGCCATGTGTGCTGTGGACTTTGAAGGGCTCGATGCATTACATTTGCATATGATTCCTTTATTTCTGGCCGGCCGGCCCAGGTTTATAAGTGGTCGCCATTACTGCGTGCTTTCGGGCGACGAGGGAACGCAACACCACCAACTTGGAATTGTGATAGGAAAAGAGATAGAGGAAAGGGTTACATTTATTGTTGCCTTTTCTTGGGGAGGGAACAGGTAAACCATAAAATTAGGAGAAAGGGGTAAAAGAAACATAAACATGTTAATAATAATAATAGGACTCACTGACTGACTCACACAGTGACCATTTATTTTTCATCCACTCGGTTTTTTTTTTCACTTTTGTATTTTTTTTACCTAAGGTTCCTTTCAGTTCACTTCTTTTGGGATTGGTAATTTTAGAGGAGAAAAATACCCAATCTATCTAATTTATTTCAAAATAATACAGGCTTCTGTCTTCTAGAGGAAGAAAAATATATATCCACTCTCGTTTAATTCGAATGCACTCATGGCTAGTCTACACACAAGTCGAAGAATATTGATGCAAAATTTCAAAAAATTTATATATTATTTAGGTCAATAAATCCCTTTTGAAAGTGGCAAAGGATTTTTTGAAATTGACACATGCATAGATTAGTTCAAGATAGATTGGTTATTAACTTATTATTATTATGATGATGATGAATGCTTTTACTTTTCCCAAAGAAGGTTCTATTTTTCTATTTAAATGTCCTTTTTTGTGGTGATGATGAAGCATAAAAGAAAAATATTTCACATAAATTGGCCATCCAAATATGCTATCAAGTGGGCTAACTTGCCAAGTAAAGTAAAGCGTTCATGTCCGTTACACTCGTTGTGGACATTACAGACTTACAGTGATACAGTCTGGTTGACGGTCAATTATGTCTGACTGGGCTTTTGATATAAAGCCCAAATCAGGTACTGGGCCTTGACCTGGCAGTAAGATCCGCTTAGTTCAGTTTTTGGTTTAGGCCTACAGACATGAGAAAATCCCACAACAATTACAAAGACTAGACTTAAGCCTGGCTTCATTAAAGGAGCTTAGGGTGGCCCATTTAGGCATTCTGCAGAACTTTAATGGGTCTATCAGGCCCAATAAGTTGTTCTGTTCTAATCCAAGGAGCTAGTAGGTGAGCAAATTCATGGCCCAGCCCATTAGTTTGCCTTCGTCTTGCTTTTCGAAGTAGAGAAAGAGTGCAGGGAGACAAGGGATAGGATAGGTAGCGATGGAGGAGCCAACTGAGGAGAAGGAATCCATAGCTGAGGCTTCCAAGGAGGTTTCTCGGGAGTTCAGAACCCTAGTCAATGCCGATGATTTGGATACCCTCAAGCAATTGCAGCATCTCATGTACGTTTCAAGCTCTCTGTGCCCCACTCTCTATCTGATCTATGTCGATTGTTGAATCTGTCTTGCTAATCACTGATCACCGGAATGCTATCTCCCGGCGCCGGCGAATAATATAGGCTTGCGTCCTTTTATTACGAATGATCATCTCAATTTGTAAATGTTCCTTGCCAGAATCAATCCTTCGAAACGGGAATCGACTGTAAATGTTAAAATGATATTCGTACTCCTTTGATGAAATTGGGTTTGTTTGGTCACATATTGCACGCTCAAATGCCTACTATGGAGCTCGTACTGTACTCTGAGCCCTGCTACGGCTGTAAGAGCTGCCTGTTTTAGGGTTGTATTTGAATTTGCTACCCTTAAAATTAAGGACTGCTAGGACCTCAACTGAAGAGGCAAATCTTACTGCAGGCTGTTACTTGACATCCTATTTGCAAGATTGGTTTTAGTTTGGCCCGACTTTCTCTGCTGAAAATTCAGTTGCCTCTGATTTGTTTCCTTATTGCTCATTGTGTTTCGCTGTTCGTTGCATTCTGGATGTGCAGACTGGGAAGGTTGCAGGACAGCAATGCAGTCTTGTCCCATTTTAACGACTATTCAGAGAATTGCTTCACCGAGGTTTCGGGGGATTTTTACAAGAACACTCGCCTGCTGAAGTCTATGAAGTCGGATCTCGATTACATATTTCTAAGGCTAAGGTAAAGGCCAGTTAGCGTTTCTTCTTGATCCCTGTTTATCTATTTCTCGCAAGTGATCCCAGCAGCAGAATGGTGATTATGTTCTGCTAATTGAGTTGGTTTCATGAAAGCTTCTCTGCAGCATGAAATGTCTCATGTAAAACTTTGTTGCAACGCAAAGTCCCATTTTCCTCTTTTAATCCACATTGGATTCTGACGTTCCCTTGTTCCTTGCTTTTGCAGAACTATGAAATCGAAAATCTCAGCCGTCTATCCTGATGCATTCACTGACGAATCAGCAAAACAAGTAGAGGACCGAAGGCCGGATCTTGAAGCACCTATGGAACCCTAGTATGTTGGTGCATTGTGCTTTTTGTTGCATCCCTGTCCTGGGTCTAGAGGGCACGGCAGTGCCATTTTTGGTATCTGCTGCGAAGTGTATCTAGGCAGTAGGCAGGCGGGAGTTCAGAAAAAGGGTAAGCAAAGGATGCATCTTTCCAGTGGAATCTTTGGACTTTTGTCAGTCCAGTCCACTCCAGGCAAAAGGGTTTTGTTATTCTCTACTTTCTTTCTGTTTTGTGTCAGTTACAGACCCGGGAGATCTCTCTCTCGCCTCCATCTGATCTGTTGTGGTAAATCAAAGCTTTTCTTTTTCGTATGTACTTTCTTCCCAAAACCTTCCTTTTGTTTCTCTGGTAAAAAAGAGAAACCCTGCCGTTCCCCGTTCCAATTACTGGCCCTCGTCAGTCGCGTGTACTCTCTTCCTCTCTCATGCAATTCAGCCCTGAGGCCTGCCTGAACCTTCTAGCTCTCTGTCTCTGTCTCTCTCTCTCTCTCTGCCTGTGTTCTCTTCCTCATGCAAAAAGCACATTATATATATAGATGATCAAGAACCAATCGATCTCTCACTGAACCACTGCCACGGCAAAGGAAACCAGAGTTTGATTGATTCTTGAGCCTGCCCTGATCACTAGAAAATGGTGGGGAGTGGCGGTGGATCCTCGGCAAGAAGCGAGAGTGACAAGGAGAAGACTAAGCTGAGGGAGAGGCAGAGACGGGGGATCACCACCAAGATCTTCCACGGCCTCCGCAGATACGGCGGCTACCACCTCTCCCCGCGGGCAGATATCAATGAAGTCCTCCGGGAGCTGGCCAAGGAAGCTGGTTGGATCATCGAGCCGGACGGCACCACCTACCGCTACAAGGTAAATGCAATTATGCCCTGTATTCACTTTTCATTCTCTCTTCTCTTTCGTTTCCTGAACCTCTGTTTTCCTGCACTGTTCGTCTGCTCTTGTGTAAAAAGCTCGTGAACCGCTGCCCAACTTGCGGCGCTGGTCCGAGCCAGGCGAGCACAACTGCGACTCCGACTGCCAGCAGCACGTTGGTTGCCGGCGGAGGATCGGGATCTGGAGGAGACTGCTCCACCACAACTTCCCCACGCCGGATAGACCCAAGCATGGCGTTGATCAATGGCGTCAACAGTGGCAGGGCAGTCAATGGTGGGGCACCGAATTCCGTCGGCTCTTCCTCTGGCGAGCAGCTGGACATCTCTCCTGCGTTCTACATATACAACCATCCTGATCTCCTGCACCAACCGTCCATCCCCACCACCACCAACGCGGTGGCCGAAATCGGCATGCCAGTGAATGTACCATCAGTTCTCCACCACCAGGAGCTGTTGCAGCTGCAGGGGGCGTTTATGGAAGAAGCTATTGTGGCGGCGGCTGGTCCTGTTGAGTCATCACCGCGGCGTAATTGAGTAGCTAACCATTTAACAATAGAGGAGATCTTTACTATAATTATGCGTTTGACAGAACTTGGAAGCTGAGAATCATTTTCTGATCTCTGTTGTTGCACTTAGTTTAACTGTTCCTGTTATGCAATAGTAACAAAGTAGTATCAATGCTTGAGGCTAGATAGAGCTGCCGCAGTTTGAGTGAACCAAATCCAGCTACAATAGTTGAGGATCAGAAACTTTGGCACTGCTACATTGACTTGTTAATAGGTTGAGTTACTCAAATTATTGCCAGCAGATTGTCGTCTGTAAGCACAAAGAAACTTGAATATCAGTACTGCGTTCATACAGATGACCAAAGGAGCGGACTCCATCTACCATCTTCATTCTTCAGTCTACTTACAACACGACCAATCGTTCTCAAACTTCTATCATTGCAGTTCAACTCCATTAAAAAGGGGAATGTCTTTTCACAGCTTCCTTTGCTGAAGCCGAAATCTCGAAAGGAACACATTCATCAAAATCCCGGGATCTCTCCAGGCACGGGGGCTAACTCATTTTTGTTGAACTTCTCCTCTTCGTAGAATGATGCCCTGACGGTATTACCACCAAAATAACGGCCATCCAGATCTACCAATGCCTTCGTTGTTTCTTCTGATCTCTCAAACTGAATAAAGATCCGCACAGCCTCATGTCGAGGAAAGCTTGGTTCTGTGATCTCGAAAATGAGAACCTTTGTGACAGTCCCATACTTTGCACACTCTGAAGCAACTTCATCCTCCAGCTCGTCATCCACCTCTCCCGGCCCAACCTTGAACAAGCAGAGCAAAAATTGTCAATCACCATCACAAATCAACACGTACGGACACAGGTGCCATTAAAATCGTCCAAACAGGTTACATCAACAGGGACCCACTGAATGGATAGGAAAAACTAAGTACGTAGAAGATGAAAGTGATAAACACTGCAACAGTCGTATAAACTTATTTCAACACCATGGTCACAGAACAATATCGGACCAACATAAGTAGCACAAAGTGTTTTTAGTATCCAAAGGTTCCCACCCCATACATCATAATAGGCAATAGGGAGATCCACAGAACAGAACTCATCCTTGCAACATAACAAGCTCTGTTTATCAAAGAACCAAGAACTTCCTACAAATTCAACTCCAGGCAATAAAAAGGTGATCCCCCATGCGATTTTCTTTAATGTTCCGAATTCCCATTTTACAAAGCAAGAAGCTTGACTAACTGAAGAATGTAATAGATCCTGACAGCTTATACAATGATTTCTAATAACAAATTGAGATCTGTGGTTGGATTACACTTTCAATAATATTTTCAGAGACTGAAGACGGCCGGAGTTAGAAGACAAATTCAGAATCAGTGACAGCAGAGGCAACAAGCTCTGGTTCCAAACTGTCCTAACACACCATTTTCCATCAGATACATTTGGTGTTCTTAGACATACATTTGACTCCAGATCTTAAATCTTTATTGGTTAAAAAATTGTAGATAAATGGCACCATGCATAATAATTCAAGACCATCAAAGCGAAGTCAGCACATACCATGTTCCGAAGCATTAAGACCCTAGTGGGAGGTCCGTTAAGATTAACACTCTTCACCTTCTTCTCTGACTGCTTAGTCTCACTGGCATTCACAATCACTCCACCTCGACGATCAGTCTTCTTTGCCATCAACGGAGTGGTAATTCCTTGCTCCTGCCTGCCAAGCCCTTGCCCTTCTTTCCAACCCATCTTAGCCATCATCCTCTGAGCAGCAGTCATTTGCCCACCTGCACCCACGCCTAACCCAACTGTTTCCGATTTCCCAATACTAAATCCGTCCCCGGTACTAGGTGGAGACGGCGACCTGGGCACGGCACCACTCATTGCCGCCCGTCTCCTCCAAGCTTCCTCGCCGGAAATGTTCTTCGCCTTGTCCCTATCCCTTTCTCTATCCCTCTCCCTCTCTTCCTTTTCCCTCCTCTCTCTCTCCTCATCCTCTAGCCTTCTCCTTTCTAGCTCCCTCAACCTCTCCGCCTCCAATGCCTTCCGCTTCTTCTCTCGCCTGTAATCTTCGTAATCGTTGGGCCTTGCAGGATCATACTCCTCAATGACCACGGACTGAACTCCCACGAGTGCCGGTTGCGCCATCTCCTCATGATGCAACGTCGGGATCACAGCCATAGCTGGCGACGGCGCCACGGTTACCTTGGGAGCAGAAGAGCTTTGCCTCAGTTTGCTCGCTGATTTAAGAACTGTCTGCGGCGCAAAGGCTGTGGAAGGTTTGCGCAGTGTTGGTGGCGCCATCAGAGTGGAGCTCGACCACGCCGCGGAAGCATTCGCACGGGTTTTTTCCTCTTCCGCCTTGGAAGGCGGAGGAAGGTCTCCATACAATCCGCCGAACATCTAACCGCACAATCAATCAATCAATCAATCACCTTCTTGTCCCCGCCCGAGAAAAGCCCTAACTACACCTCGTAAGAACGCCTCAGCTTCAATCGGAAGATCTCGATACAGCTTCCTCCCAGACAGATCCAGAACCCAGACCAGATTTCCTTCTTCAGCTCTTGCAATTTACAGAAATTAGGGATTTGAATAGGGATAAATGGGGGGAGGAGACGAACAGAACACAGAGAGGAACGAGGGCGGAAGTGTGACTTGTCCGGTGTCCGGTGAGGCGATGACGGTGACAATAAAGCTAATACCCAATTTGGGCCGATGGGAGTTTCAAATTTATTTGGGCCTATAACTAAACTCGGCCCAATGTAACTAAAACCCTATAACGCTCGTTGAGTTTTGTTTTCCTTCTTTCGTCGTCCACAGTCCAAAATCCCTACTCCCATTTCAGCAAACGACGGGAAAGAGCCGGCGGAGGGACGAGAAGATTCAGATCAGACGCAGGAGAGATGTTTCGAATCGCGAGAACGAAGACACTCGAATCTCTGGCACATCAATTCGTCCAAAGATGTGCAGTCAGCGGGACGGCGAAAGGTAAAGCGAAGCTGAAAGATGGGCCAAAGAAGAGGATGAAGGTATCTACCAAGAAGGGCGGGAAGGGAGCCGTCGATCCGGATCCTTCAGCCCGGCCGACGTCACGTCAGGACCAGGAGAAGTACAAGCTGTACGAGCAATGCATAAACGCGCCGACGCCGGTTCGGTATCTGAAGCCCAAGGACATGAAGCGGGAGGCCGAGCGTGAGAAGTTAGGGTTGGAGAGCAAAGATCGGAAGCGAGAGAAGGAAATTCTGAAGAAAGGCGGGAGGCAGGCCATGGGAGTCCCCGACGAGCCTTTGATGATGGGGACACCCGGATTCGACCTGATCTCGCTTGGATTGGTGGATGCCGATAAGATCCCCAAGTACGAGCTGACCGTGGAGGACGGGAGGCGGCTGGCGAAGGAGTACAGCAGGGTTTTGATGAGGAAGCACAGGGCGAGGCAGGCCGCGGAGACGAATCTGTTGAGGATGAAGAAGGAGGCGATCGAAGCATTGCCGGAGAAGTTGAAGCAGGCTGCTCTGGTACCAGACTTGACGCCGTTTCCTAAAGAGAGATTCATGGCGACATTGACACCTCCGATTGAGGGTTATATCGACAAGGTGAAGGAGGCTGCTATGAGGAGTTCTGGTGCCCAGAAGATTAGATAGAGCGCTGTTTTCTTCCCAACTCCCAAGGTGTGGCATGGTATTTTTCACCATTTCCTTTCCTCTTTTGTTGCCTGTAGTTTCCTGCGTTGAATTCTTGGCTGCATTTTGGTGATTGATAGATTCAAAGAGAATCGGCCTTGTAGTATACTGGCTAGTCAGATAATGGATTGATGTGGCTTTGTTGCTTTACTACTTGAGAGTTACAGAAACATCACTTGTCAATAACATTCCATGTCGACATGCTTGAGCCAGGCTGCTTTGGCTAAGGATCGATAGTTTTTCACAGTTAGGTGATTGATAGATTCAAAGGGATTCGGCCTTGTAGTATACTGGCTTTTCAGATTATGGATTGATGTGGCTTTGCTGCTTTACTACTTGAGAGTCTCAGAAACATCAATTGTCAATAATATTCCATGTTGACATGCTTGAGCCACGGTACTTTGCCTTAGGATCGGTAGTCTTTCGCTATTCGTTAACAGGCGGCGATCGATGGTAAAGAACAGAAGTATGAGACTGCAATTGTGTTGATCTGAAGGAGGTTATTGAGCACTGGTTTTGCATTCCTTGGTTCCAAGTCTTTGTTTTTTCTAGGAACCGCAGTTTGTGTAGTGCAACAATTATACTGTGGTTTCAGAAGTGCACTTGGGAAATAGCTTTCTGTAAGCTTTTTCTAACTTCAGAGGATGAATGAGCCTCATCACAGTGTTATTGCTTACTGTCTGTCATCTGATGATCAACTCCTTCAACCTGGGTTCTGCAGTTCAACAAGAGGTGAACAAGGAGGTGGGCGACTCTGTATCGATGCAATGGCGACAGCACAAGCCTGGAGCACATGGATTTTGAAATCTCGGAAACCTGTGCAATAATGGCTGTTGAAATCGCAGAAACCTAAAATTGGAGTCATGGATATTTTGGGGATTTTGTTTACAGGGCTTTGTATGGTTTGTCTTGGTATATTGTTTCTTGACTAAAGCTGTGCCGGAACTGACAAAGGCACACCCACCGAGTCCGAAGATGAAATGCAGCTCTGGTGTTCGTTATTGCTGTTTTAAGTGTTTATGCCCAGCCACGATTAGAGATGGCAAAAAGAAAAAAAAACCCCAATATTTTCACACAAAAGAAACCTAATATTTGGTTATTTCCCAAATGCAAGGTCAAATCAGATTACTTTTGAGACAAAATCATATCCAATTTTTGGTTTGAGTTTAAATTGGACTCACATTGAAAGAAATAAATCCCACCGCAGGACCTGGTACTGCACACGCAGACTGCTTTTACTGCTCATGCTGACCGGGATGTACTGTTATAACCCGGAAGCTGGCGCTGTGTGGGCTGGCGTTGGGTGGGGGCTCTTTGGGATCGGACGGGTGTTTGGCGGGTCGGTTGGGATGGAACTTGGTCGTTGGGCTGTTTTGGTCTGCTGGATCGGTTGTGGTCCACGGACGCGTTGGTCACCAGGGCCCTCTCGGTGGCTGGAGCCTGCCCAGTTGCTTGATTGGATTGATTTAAGGCGGCTGGTCTATTTTCCTTGGCAGCTGTGTCGGGGCCTCTGCAGGCGATCGACGTATCCGTGGGTGGGAGACTCAGAGATGGTGGGCCATGGGGGGATTGGAAGGGTTTATTGCAGTGGCTCTGCAAGTGGCTTAGGGCAAGGTCAGAGTATTTGAGGTGTGGCCCGCTTGAGAGGTGGGAGTCGTGCCGGTTTCGGAGGCTGAGAGAGGAGGGAGGTATGGGAGAAGAGAGGTGTGTCTTGCTGATGTAGACTGGGCGTACTTTCTGAAACTAGAAAGGTAATTGAGGGGACTAATCAGGAAGCAGAGAAAGGAAAAAAAAAATATCAGGGGATAGGAGCTTGGTCAGGGAGGCAGAACAAATGAGGTTGACGGTTGGCAGAAAAAATATGTGTGGTTAACCTAATCTACCCGTGGTGCTATATTCTCTCTCATCGAGGTCAGAGGAGCACTCTTCTCTTGAAATATATCTTCCTCTTTCTTTGCATTCGTTTTCTCTTCCTTTTCTTGACTGGGTTCATTCTCTCTCTTTCTATCTAGAAAAATGGGTTTCTTTGATCCTCTTTTTTCAGGTTTGTTCATCGCCTCTCTCAGGAACAGAAGGATCCGAGCTTTGCATCGGAGCTGATTCATCCTTCAGCTGTGAATCTCCTGTGGTGAGTCTTTCTATGGATGCTTTGTATTTCGTTTGTTTCGGTGGATCGATCGGAGTTCCCTGATTTCGTTTGTGATTTGACTGTTGGGATTTGAGTATCCTGGAGTGGATTTGGAGCTATTTGGAAGAGGGAGGGAGGATTCGAAGAACACCCAGAACCACAGGTTCTATATTGATTTCATGTGATTGTTCCTCTGTCTCTCAAAATTTTGTTTCTGTCGTAATGGTTTATATATAATTGATCATCTTTTGTTTTCTCTCTACTTTTGGCTCTCTTCTCATTTTCGAAACCACCAGAGCTTGGAGCAATCAACTGGCAAATTTGAGAGGGTCAGAGAGGAATTGGAGGATACTCAGATCCTCGGAGTGTGTTTTCTGGGTTTTCCTGATTGAGATTTATGTTACTCTTTCATCACTTTAAATCTTAATGCACTTTCTCTTGCTGAGAGAGAAATTATTTATCTCATCATTAATTGGTTTCTTTCTTTTTCTTCTCGCCTTCAAAAGATTGGTTGGAGCAAGAAGGGGGTGAGATCTTGCAAGCGGTCGTTGCAATCGGCCACCTAGGAATGGCCGAGAATCCATGTCTGACGTGGAGAGAACGCGGAGAAGGCCTGGAATCGCCATATCTGCTGCACCTATTCCTTTGTTGATCGGGGATGGACAGTACCCACGACCCGGGAAGACGAAGTCCACGACAAAGGGAAGCCAGATTTGCGAACCATGCCGTTGAGAGGTGAGGTTTTGATGGTTTTGCTTTATCTTTTTTCTGTGGTGCTTAGCTTTTTTCAGTTTGTAATTCTTTTTCTTCTCTTTTCCAAAGAAATGCAGGCGACCAGTTCTTGACAGAGATTTCGTTGGCCGGGGGTGGATTGCTTGGATTTGAAGGGCAATCCGAAAATGGATTCCGGGTGAGATTTCTCGCTATCTCTCATCTGTCGCTGTTGAGCACCTCTATATCTTACGCAGGTTCTTCTCTGTTTTCCTTTTTCGGCGGTGTTTGTTAAGCAATCTACTCATTGTTGGGCGGTCAATTAAGCCATTAGGGTCGCCTTTGCTGGAGCAAGAAGTAATTGGTTATAAGATGAGTGGGACCTTTGGTTGGTCAAGATGAGTGGATCCCTTGGTTGGTCAATGGATTTTAAGGGTACAGAGAGGGCTGCAGGAAGATGCAGATCAACGTGTTGCCGTTTTGCCTTGCCTTCGTGAATCTCATTTTTTCTTTGCTTTTGCCGACCGTAATTTGACTTCAACTTTGTCATTTTTTCAGCTGTATTCTTAGACTGCAACGAAGGTTGTTGGGTGTTTGGAACAAGGGATGAACACATGTGTACACTGGATTATCCCATGGTGATGGATTTTTCATCTTGCCATCCGCTTTTTTGTATTGTCTTTGGCCCATTGCGGTTGCAGTAGGTTGCATTCGAGTTTCGGGTTATGATGTTCTTCTTTTGTGTTGTTTGTGTGCTTTCACTGCTCTTAATGTTGAGCATGGTGTTCGTTTGTGGGTTAGGAGATGATGTTATTCGTCTGTCCATATGGCTGATAGTGTCTTTTTTCCAATTGATGCGCCGGCGAGAAAATTTTGTCTTTTGCTGTGGCCTTCCATAGGATTATATATATTATTATTTTATTTTATATATATTATGACAACAAATTTTTATTGTATAGCTGTTGGCTGCAGAATGATCAAATCAATACCACCAAGCCTTCAAACTGCTATTCACCATTTGTTTTCCCTTACAGCTAACCGGTTTTCTTGGTGTGCCACTGATTGAAAGTGTGATTCAAGCCCTCCATAATTGTAAAATGTGTACTTTGTGAAGGCATTCTAGAGACAAGTGTCAGGCTAAAAAAATAGGTAATTTGTATGTCTGTGGGTGTTTTTCCGTTCAGCTATTGGAATTGTTTTTAGCTCAAGTGCTACCGATTTTTAGCGTCTTTGTGTTCGTGTGGTTATTGTCCTATGAGGTTTGTCCTTGAGAACAATTCTTAGTCTCTATGACCAGTCTTTTTGGTCGATGACCAGTCTCTCTCATTTCCTGCAGTGGAAGGTAAGGTAAAGGTGGGGAGTCGTATTTGATATGAATGGATCGTTTTGTACCTTAGTATGCAGCACCACTCTTGCAATATCACCTATTGTCTCAGTACTAACTGTAGTGTTCCTATTCTGGTCATGTAGAAAATCATAGCATCGCTTAAATGAGTCATCTAGATTCAAGCCTGTTTAGATTGCTTAGGTCATGAAGGAGTTAATTAGAAAGGTTAGATCGTATTCCCATAATTAGAAGTATTGCTTTGATAAGCATTTGTTCTATGATTGATAAGTGTCAGTTTTCTAGAACTTTTTGTTAATTTGCCCGATAGAAAATCATGAATCTAAACAGAGATGAAAATGCATATTAAGTAGCAGGGAATCTCAGGAAAAATGCAGACTACCTAACGAGAATTAACAAACCTCTCAAGGTTTGCCAATTGATAACTTCTCAAATTATTATCAGCAATGGTACTGGTCCGCTGGATGCAGTGTACGCAGCCCAACAAAGAAACAAAAAAGATAGACATTTTTACCCGTGTAAGCCGCGATAAAGATCGGTGCCTCAAATGTAAAACAGGTGGGGTGTAGGCCCAAACAACAAAGCCCAACGTCCATTCGTTTTATGACAGCGTCACAGACAGTTTGCCCTTTCGAATCCCTGAACTGTCGCAAGGCTTCCGAAGAAACCAACCTCTGCGCTCTCGATCGCAAATCGCCGCGAAAGCCCCATACTTGGACCGCAGGAAATTCCTGCCACAAAGGTGGGTCCTCGACTACTTCTACGTCGCCATTCTTACAGTTCCTAAAATTACTGCTCATCGGTTTCTTAGTAGGGAAATCAGAAACCACACTTGAAATGGCCACGTCGCGGCAAGATCGGGAACGTGCACGATGCAATGCCATGGTCCCCAACGATCTTCAGGGTGAGTGCAGTCAGTTTTGGGTCATTGGTCCTGTGAACATTATCGATTTCGATACGACCGCCCACTAAAAAAGGCTGGCCGCTTTGCTAAATCACAAAATCTTGAACTGTGTTACAGATCCTGTTGGATCTTCCGACACCTTCCGAGGTTTACGTTTGGGTTGCAACCATCGTACTGTGGTCGCACGGCTTGTCAGGTTATGGTTTCAAGTCAGGAGAGGAAACATGAGGAGAAAGAGAACCATGCACATGCTTTGGCTTGACAAAAAGGTTGTTGATTAAATACCAGACATCTTTGCAAGATCTCACCATTCTGCATTTTTCATTATAACAAATTTGTGCATGGTGCTTTCAGCACTTAGATTACAAAGAATCTGAACAATTTCTCACATGGCAAAGGAGTGTTTCAATGATCGGCTACTTTCTAACAGGACCAATTGCTCGAGGGAATGGTTGAGGAGGAGGACATCAGGGAAATTTCCACAAAAATCAAAGTCAACAAGCTTCATCGACTGGATACAGTTGTTGCTGTCCCTGCAAGAGGAACGGGTCGGATTGTTCACAGAGAATTACGCTTATTGCTGGCATCCAGACAGCAAATTTCCTATGTTCACGAGGACCCCGAGAATTCCCAGTTTCCCGTTCGCTCATACATAAACTCTGACTTTTCAGTGGCGCCAAGGCAAACAGATAGCTACGACTGCCATTCAGGTGCGCTTTCATTTGTTTATCTCATTACACTATCCTAATAAATGTTTTTGTGCCTTAACTAAATTTTATGATTTAGACATCACGGGATGCGTTAGGCACCTAACAGTCCCAAGAACAATTGATGGAACCTTGAAAGAGTTCCTTTTGGTCATCGAGGATGCGTGGTATGTTTTCAAGAATTAATAACCATTATTTCCTTTATGAAAATTGACAGAATAACATATTTTTTATTACAAACAGTGGAGCAAAGGCCGTGGTTCGTTACCGTGGCTATGACATAGATGACTATATGAAGGATGCACCAACTGCTGAAGCTCGCTTGCCTCTTATCACAACTGTTAAGTTAGCAATGCGAGTGTCTCCTTCAAATGGCCATAAATATGCAATCGAATTTAAATCCACGCCTACCAGTAGACTGGTTATACGAACATACGCAGATGACTTCAAGGACACCATGCACATGTACATTGCTTCCAATATTACCTTCACATTAGTTGACCAACAAATATTGCATCACCAATGATTCAACGCTAACACAATTTGTTTGCCTCCAATATAGTTTCCTAAGGAAGCGAAAACCAGTTCCTTATGTCAGAGTGGCCACTGGGGAGAAGCTAGGTTGGCTGCGAGCACCAAGACCTGAAAAGAAGACACTTGGTGAGATTAAGGCAGCCCTTGGTTCTACAACAAGCGGCAACAAGGTAGTCCCCTGCTGATTCTTTACACCCCGTGCACATCCACCGATTTCTATACTTAGCCCACTAACAACAATAAAAACAATTCGTTTGATTTCAGATCCTCTACACCTGCAAGTTTGTTTTCACGCAGGTAATCTACAGAGAATCCATCTGCAGATCGACTCCAGAAATACCGGGGTAAGTTTTAATAATACCTGTGTCGTTTGTTCCCTAGCTAATACATATATTAGCTGCAAACCTAACGTTAACTCTATGATACAAGCTTGCGCTATCAACTGGAAGCAAAGTGCCGCGACGATTCAGAGGAAGCTGACGTTGTGCTGGAACACGAGGCAGTTCTGTCATTGCTCTGTGTACCACCAAACAAGTACAAGGCACTGAGTGAGGAGGACATCAACCATTTGCTCGGGAGGCACCGTAACAGGACATTTGCAGGGGAGCTATACATTGAGTGGCCAGATCCGAAGTGCCCAAATTCACATTCCGTGCCACACATCCGAATTCCCACGCTATGGAACGAATCAGCCTTTGACAAGTGATTCAGCATGCTTTACCCAGTCCATTCACATGCTAGCTGTCAAATTCTGCAGAGAATGTCAAACAATTTATGCTTGTGTGCTTTTGCAATATGAGAACTTGCTATTAGGTTATCTTCTGTACTGTACATGCCGTTCCCTGAACATGACCCACATATTCTGTAGATCTTTGTTAGTCTGGCTATTTCGCAGCAACAACTGCCACCTGACTTAATCTAATGTTTTTTGCAAATGCTTAGAAATAGCATTGCTTTGTATGCCTCCCGTTTATCAAGAATTATAGAGTTCATTTGTGGTTTCAATTTTCCCTCAGCAACGATATCTAATGCTGTAGTGTACAAAATTGATGTTGGAAAGACTACACCTAAAAAATACAACCCGACTCTTCCATCTGGGCCTTTGGCCCAGAACTTATGCCTGATCTTTACCCTTTCTTTCCTCTTTTCCTTTCGTTTCGTCTACCTCCCGACCGGGTTTTTTTGTGTACCTGCTTCCTCTATTTCCCGAACTTTCTGTTTGGCTAACCAGGAGAATAACGCTACTGCTGTTCCACCTTTCTTATTCTTCCTCTCACTTAACCTTCTTCCTCTATTTCCTCATAGGAAGGCGATGTCTGCTCCTAAGCTACTTCTCGATCTTAATGGAACTGATGACCTAGAAACTATTCTGAAATTACGGCTCCTACATGTTTGGGTATCTGACGACCTAGAAAAACCATATTGCAGTCTCTGGACCGATGCAAAGGTAACACTCTATTTGCTTTCAGTTTTCCTATTTTCTAATATCATTTATGATCCTGAGACATCTCTGTTGCTTCGACTGCTGCCTATTTTGACAGGGAACATTGATTCAAGCTGTCGCCTCATCAAATTTAGCTGCCCATTTTGGCATAATCCTGCAACTAGGCTGTGTATATTTAGTTGCTAGATTCCATCTACAACAAACACAAACGATGTGCCATCCTTGCTCCCATACATTAAATTTGGTTCTTTCTCAAGAAACCAGATTTGACAATGTAACCATGATGTCGCCTGATTTTTGTGCTAATTCGTTTGAGTTTGTTGCCTTCAACTCCCTGTACTCCTTATCTCACTCAGCAAACCAGCTAATAGGTTTACCTACCAAACTACTTTAAACTCGTGAGCTCCGCTTCAATTTGACCATTACAGTTGGCGAGCTGACTATGTTTACAAACCTCTTCAAATGTAGATGTTGTCGGCAATGTTGTGTCCGTAGCTGGTCTGTCATGCTCAGTAACCTCTGCTCATGCTATTATTAGGCGGAAGCTGGTCATACAAAACGAGAGGTTATCGATGCATTACAATTATCTACTTTTCCAGTCCTTCATTTGTTATCTTTTATTTCCTTTTTTTTCATTGTCTTTGTTTCGCTGTACTTTTGCAGACATGTACGCCTTAATATTACCATCTGTGGTGATGTTGCACGATCTCTAGATGGGGAAGAACTAGCATACCTTGGCCGTTCTGGTTCTGTTGTGCTAGGTGTATGTAGTCTTCAATTAAGTCATGTAACAACAGGTTAGATCGCAGTTTTCGACCTGACAACTAATGTTTGCCTCATCTACATTATCATGTATTAATACTTACTTATTCACTGTTTTTCCAAGACGCCATATTTTTTACTAGCATCCCTGCCACACGCTTTGTGCTTGAACCAGCTTGTGATTTGGCAAATCTTTTGCGCTCTGCGTAAGTAACTTCCAATGAAGCTTTTCAACAATTTACTTTCTCTTTATCTAATATTTTACCCAATATATAGCTTTCTTGGTGGAAATGATACAATTCAATACTATCCTCCGTGGTTCTCGACCTCTTTTGAAGAACACCTATTACAAGCTGACAGTACAAAAACAATTCTGGACCTGATCCATCTTTGCAACCCATCAATGGTTAATGTACGTGCTACTTACACAAACCTTACTCTACCAGCACTGCATTTCATGCATGCATACTGAGATCATGCGTAACATGCTAATTTATAAAACCTAACCTATTTGTTTGTCTGGTTGCTTTTAGTTGGCCAATTGATGCAACCGTATGTGTAATTCCATTTTTCCTGAACCAACAAAGTGCTTCCCTACCTAACTTACTTTGCTTGTCTGCTTTATTTACTTATATATATAGGCTACACATTACCATTGCTTAGCACAAGTCCTCTCCGCTCAGTCTTCCCGACCATGGTTTTACCTAGGATGTGCATTTTGCTCCAAAACAGCTAGAGAGTTTCCGGGTACTACTGATTTTTGGTGTGATGAGCATGAGCAGTTGATGGGTCAGGAAACCCAGAAATGGTTTGTCTAACATAAAACTATTTTTTCATTGCAACTTCCACAGTTAGCTAACGCTGAAATTCTTATACATTTTATCAGCTACAAAATCCATTTGGCAGTGGGAGACAGTACAGGTTCTACATGCTTTATCATGCTTGGAAAAACCGCTGAGTCATTACTTGGAGTTCCTGCTAACGAACTGTTGGCGCGTAACCCTCAACAGCATGGCCATTGCCCTCCAGAAATTGTTGCCATGAATGGACGTTGGTTTTCATTTGACATTCAACTCCCTAAACCTGGCTATTTACCTCAAACCCCTTTGGAGTTCACCATCCTTTCTGTGATCAACCTCAACCAGCCTCACCAGTAGTCCAAGCCAATATCAACATGCACATGAATCACCCAGTCAACAACATCAATTGAAGTTTACCATTTTTCTTGCTGACAACATGGTGTATGCAAGTGCATCAATGAGTTTTATTGAATAAATCTCTTTCTCCAGATTTGCTGCAACAAGATGTGTGCTTGGAAGATCTGCAGCATACCCAAAGCTACTGATTTTGGCATAGATCAGCAACACTTTTGTCAAGAACAGATAGTATATGTTCCTTGGTGTTTTATATTGGTTGGCTGTGTAAGTTATTAATAGGTCAGGAAAAAGTTCCCCAGTGCATCAAGTGTTCGATTTTCCACACAATAGTTCCAACCAAATTTGTAAGTTGGAGAAAATCAATTTTGTCAATTTGTAAAGAAAAGCCTCGATCTGTTGTGTTTTGGGCCCATGGGATTGATATACATATGCTTATATTAGTTGAGAGAACATTTTTATGTTCGAAAACAATAGACCCCACGGCCCACCAAAACATACATGCCCAATGTCTGGTCTGTTAATGCCTCAACCTCTATAAACCCTAATATCCTTCACCAGCTTAGAATCACAATCTCCTACAGATCCGCCGCGCAAACCCCACACCTCTAACTGCCAGACAAACCAGACCTCGGAGGTAATTCCCCATCTTTTTCTGCGCCACTAATTTACAGTTTAAGATTACTACTCATAAATGGGTTTCGTGTGCTACTGCAGGGACCCCACCGAAAATGGACGATTTGGGAAATGAACGACACTCTAAAGAAAGCGATTCAGCTGTCCCCATCGATCCGCAAGGTGAAAGCTAGACGCCTTAATTTTATGAAGTGGTCCTGCGAAAGTGTCTCGAATCCT